ACTATTCCCCTTGTTGTTGTTGAAACAATGCTTCCTAGATAAATTAAGGAAGTAACCTCTGTTAAATCTCTTCCGCTGATGGTGATTGCTGCTGCTGGTTGTTGTTGTTGTTGTTGATATTACGGCATGTTGGTCATCTTCATCACCTCCGTTCACCTGGGATCCTGTATCTGCTGCCAGCTTCTTCATCCACTCTATTTGTTTTCGCCTGTAAGTCTTCGACATTGAACATGAATTATCCACGCGCGAAATTCAGAGTCTTCTAGAAGCGTCCCATCAGTGGCCCAGCATACTCCTGTCTTCTCACTCCTCAAGCACAGTCTGACGCATAATCCAGTCCACCACAATTAAGAACATCACTGGTGATAACAGCCAGCCAGCTTGCCTTACTGCTGTATTCACTTCAGTGGCTACGCTGAGTTTTCCATTGTGGATCACCTGACATGCGGCACTGTGATATTTCCACCTGTTAACAAAGGTTGATCAAGACTTGTGCACTGCACACCGTAGTGTTGAAGTAGGTTCCAAATTACTTCTCGGTCAACGCTGCCTGTCGAAGGCCTATGACCTTAGCATTGTAAAGGATTTAGAAGTGTAGCGTATCTCAGAGGCTTCTTTTGACTTTCCAGATAAATGTGAATGAATTTTCCTTGCATATTGAGATCGTTCAGTAATACCTAATTTCAACTATACAGATAAATAAATGGCCAATGAATTGGCCAAAAAGAAACCCTTGAACTGCTTATTCTTATTTCCATGTATGGATAAATACTTTTTGTGAACACTTTAACAACTCACCTTATTCTGATTAATATCACATGAAACCTTGTTGCAATACACTGGCATTAAGTACACATTCCTTTTGAAACTGACACCCCAATAGAAAAGCAAATAATTGGCGCATAGTTAGTGGGTTGGTAAAATGAAACCGACTGATTGAAATCCTGTCCTGACTACCCATGCAGAGATATATGTTTTTTAAAATCTTATCGATCCCCCGAGAAAAAGTGTATCTGCACTACCGAAGGACTTTGAGGCATACACTCAAGATGAAGAATATCTGAAGAAAATGGCTAATACACGATAGAAAGAAAACACTGCATAATGCATAATGAATCTGTGAACCTTAGCCATGCATATTGTCTGGTATGCGACTCCCTACCGACACACTCCTTAACCCCCCCCCACTTAACCAGTAGTAAGCCCAGAAATGAGAGCAGACTGAGTATGAGGTTAGCCAGTGTGCCCAACGAAATGACACAAGGGTGACTGGAACTTCAAGGCATACAGCTCGAAGCCTTATGTTCAACTTAGAACTCGAAGGAAGGAGAATAAACTGGAGAGTAGAGTGCACATGAAATACTAAATCTACTTCATTTGCATTTGCATTGTCAAACATCTGACTTCACTTTATTATATGTGTAAAATTTGGGCACTGTGGTAGTAAGTAATTCCATATTAGTTTGTTTATTAGATATATCACACAGTGAAACAGTATTATTTACTGGATGACGTTTCGAACACAATTCATTATTGTTCATAATCATTTCATCAATTATAATCACACTACTTCCAAACCTAATTTTTATAGTTTTCTTTGTCTTCTCCTATTTGTCATCATTTGGGTAGTAGAATTTTCTAGATATCTGAGTAGATAGGTATGGAATCATTCCTATTACACATATTTGCAGTTGATTCGATAAACAAATCTTCCGTTATCAATCTCTCCCTCCACCCTGTGACACTAGATTTTAAAACTGTCATCCTATCCCATCCAGCCTATTGTATGGTTGTGCGTAACTGCATGTGGTGTAGTGTTATAGCTGAACTATTCTCTAGATTTCTTATCTTATTCGGGTCAACCAATCTAGATTTTGCTAGGTTTTTATGCTCGGCTAGTCTAACTGCCTCTATTCTACTGGTTTGACCTATATATATGACCTGACAATCATCCCAGGAGGGTATTAGATAAACTAAACTGCTTTGTTTAAAGGCTTCAAAGGTTCCTTTAACCGATAAAGCTTGTTTCTAATTGAGTTTGTGGGTCAGTTTGAATGCCAGTCACTTTTATTCCTGCCTTGTGAAGAATTCTGCGTGAGGTGGTTTCCGAGGTTCCTTCCTTGTATGGAATTACTACTGATGATTTAAATCACTTATTGTTGGTGTCATCATTAATATTGTTATTAATATTACTATTATTATCATTATTATTATTATCACTATCGCTACTATCATTATTTATTTTATTTTTACATTTCCTTACATATTTCCTGACTAATTTATCCGGATAATTATTAAGTTTCAAGGCTTCTTTTACGCGTATCACTTCCTGTCTTAGATCTTCCTTGGTACTACTTAGTTTTTGTGCTCTGCCATTTAAACATTTCACTAATCCTATTTTTACTGTCATAGGATGGGATGATCGGAAATCCAAATATCTGTTTGAGTGTGTGGGTTTCCTGTAAACAATAGTGTTTAACTTCCCATCTTCTTACTTTTTTCTCCACAATCTAACATGGGAAGCTCACGTTCCTGACTTTCCAATTCATAAGTGAAGTGAACTGCCTCTACCTTCGAGTTGATGTGCTCGAAAAATCTATCTGCATCTTGTGTTCTGAGTACAGTGAATGTGTCATCTACATACCTCCACCATACTTTTGGGGTGGGGTTGAACGTTTCAGTCGCTATGTTTTCCCACCTATCCATGAATATATCTGCTACAACCGGGGATATTGGTGATCCATGGCAACTCCCTCAGTTTGTTTGTATATTTTCCTTTGGGGTTTAAATACTGTGGAAGTCAGGCACAGCTGTACTCCCATCATTATGTCCTCAAGTGGCACTTTTGTCCTAAGTTCGCGTTCTTGGTCAGAAATGAGTTCGTTTCTGACTGCCTCAATAGCCATATTTATTGGCATACGTGTATATAAACTGACAATGTCAAAGCTAACCACTTTTTCTTCATTATCTAATTTTAAAATCATCTGACTTCACTGTAGCGAAAATTAAAAACAATTAGTCCCTTTTATAAATTTTGATAGCGTTATTAGAAGTCGGAGACTATCTGAAAATGTGATGTATTAGCGCTATACATTTAGAACAATCTGATCACACATTTACTTGTCAAGCCAATATATATAGAAAGGTTAAATTAAACAAAGTGAAAGAAAACAGAATTAGGAATAATTAACACAAACGTTTGGTAATCCAATCAAATAAGGATTACCAAGGTAGGTTAAGAGTAATGACAAACTGTTTTTGAATACACAGAGGAGGGGGCGGGCTTAAGTTTATGAATAGTCATAGCCTCAGCGTATTTCAGTAAACGCCCTTGACCGTTTTTATAGATGACCTTAAAGGCTGAGTTAACATCAATCTTATGGTTCATCTCGATTAGATGTTTAGCTATAGATGAAGTTGGTAGTCTGCCACCTGCATCTATTAGCTTGTCACAATTCATCTGCTTTTCTAACCATTTCGGGATATGCTCTCCCACCCTCACGTGCAAAGCGCGATTACTCCCCCCTATGTATGTATGTCCACACACACATGAAAATTGGTAAATTGTATGGGATGTGATATAATCACTTGTCCACTTTTGAGGTTTACAATGATGCATATTTTTAGCTTTTTCCACAATTACAAGCTGGGCTGCATAGTAGGTTCTACGGATGATTGAATTCAACCTTTGTCTGACAATCCTACTGTTTATTTCCCCGTTATATGGTAATTTGATAAAAACCTTTTTCTTAGGGACGGTATGGATTGTAGGTTTAGAGGCTAGTTGACTTCTACACCTGTTTAAAAATTTCAAAGGATATCCGTTTTCAACAAGAGTATACATTAATATTTCGTTTTCTCTGTCCATAACATCAACCGTGCAAATACGCTGAATCCTCTTAAATAGACACTTCACCAAGCCCCTCTTATACTGTAATAGACAGAAGCTGTGAAAATTAAGGTATTGCCCTGTCCCAGTGGGCTTTCTGTAGATAGACCGTCTTAGCGAAAATTCCCATTCCCAGACATTTAGACGACAAAAAGAGGTTCTAGCAAAGAATATTCTTTCTGATAATTTCGATAATACAAGGTAAGAAAGGCGTCTGAACCAACTACTTTTAGATAGGCTTCTTAGTATGGATTCCGACAGCCTTAGCAGTGTATAACAGACAAACTATTGAGGTAACATTAAGATTAGTCAGTATATGGTAGATAACTTTGAAAGCCTCTTTAACGTCAATCTTGTGTTCTGTATCGACTATTGGGAACTCTGACTATAAGCAGAACAAACCGTACACCCTATGTGACGGGCACCACAGGAACAGTTGAATTGATAGATACACATGGAAGAGACAAAATTAGGCGTCTAATTGTTAGTACGAATTTAAACGTACCATCCATTTCTTGTAAGCTAGATTTATTCTTATACCAAATGTCACACTTGAATTTCACACGTAATTGTAATATTCTTTACTCACTTAAAGTGTATGAATTAATCTTTATGTGCATTGAAGTAATTAGTTTGTTCTTTAATAGACAAGATTTGCATAGTACTAAAATACCTGTCAATCATTTATTCTGCAGTGAATTAGATTATTAAGATCACCTAATCATTTTACAACTAACTACGTGAACAGCTTATTTTTCAAAGAGAATATCAATTAACAATTAATTATGTAAAAGTTAGCTAATACACGTACGCACGCACACAAGCACACATACAGAAGTACTTGATTGAAACGACTTCAAGTGGGTATCCTCTTCATCCTTCAGTGTGTTAAATTGTTTACTTTAGAAAATGTGGAACAACACTCTACACCACTTATATGTGGAGACCATCAATCTTTATATAATTTTTCCTTCTGTGCAGAAGTTCTTGACGTCGATAGACTACTCAGATCTATTCAGATCCTGTTTTTACTTCAAGTATAAATATATGAGGCTTTGTTGATTTCATCTATAGTTGTCTCCAAAATACAAATTCACAAGGGTGTACATTTATGATAAAGTCATTACTCGTATTCCTTTCACTTTTTTGTCATAGTCCAATATGCAGTCAGTCTCTACTGACTACACTACCTACAAATGATGACACAAATAATATAGCTCACACTACTGCAGCTACTACTGATGTCGATAACAAGGATGTCACCGCTGCTGTAAATGAACTGGTGGTATTCACTGCAGCCGCTAAACGTTTCAATCAATTGTCAGACAGTTTAAGCTGGCATCTAGTAAGCAATATAACTGGAGTGAAAAAGCATAATGTAAGCTCAATGTACCCAATCGAAATGTAATTAACAATTCTTTAGGATGGACAAATGTACTTTGTCATGCATTTTACAGAAACAAATTGTTCGAAATTGGAAATGAAAGAATTCAAATCTGAGGAGTGTCAAATGTTGAATAATGCAGTGAGTAATGAATGATAAAATTGATTTTGATTTCAGCCTAATTTTTGCTTGTTTTTATGCATTTTGAACCCCGTTTTTTGATTTTGTTGAAATCATGTGAAAAGCTGAGGAGGTTTCTTCACTTTTCAGTGCCTAATGATCAATGTGTGAATGTTGGTCAAAGATTTTTGCATCTTAATATGTTTGTCATTTTGAAGTCCTTCAGAAAGGCGTTGTAAATTAATGCAGTACACTTAATCTTTAGGTATTATTTGGCAAGTATCTAGCTGAATATACACCCAATATATGTATGAATATAAATAAACTGTGGATGTTGGCTACATATTCTAGGGTTCTCAGTGTATGTTTTCCCTGAGCTCACAATGTTCTTTATCTTTTGATTACGGTAATGAATACAGGTGAATAATAATAATAATAATAGCTTTATTCCAAAATAGTATTCGTGATACAGAATGGAATTCTCAGCATTTCACTACAATACTGCATCAAATTATTACATTATCAATAAATAAAACTCTACATAGATTAGGGAAATCTCAGTTCATTATGACAACAACATATTGACATGTCAGTAGCAAAGCCAAAAGTGAACAGACTGTTTGAAGGTGTTAGAAAAGTAGATGCTAACATATTTACTGGCGTAAGCAGAAGAAAGGAACAAAGCTGCACATAACAGAGAAAAAAAAGAGAGAGAAAAGGAAAAGAGAGAAATAGAACGTTGTACCTATAAATGATATGAGTTGGAAAGACGAGATCCATTTGTTCTACTGACTATTTAATAAGTTACAGGTATCACGCTTTATGCTTTCTTTATCTCACAGAACACGAGCTAAGTAGGGTATAGTTGAGTTTTTGTACTTGTTCGTGCGAGCATATAGTTTTCTGTATAGGCTTTTGGTTCCGCCTGAAGAGATACAAGGTGAGAGTTTTGAATGAAGAGGGTGGTGTGAGTTAGATAGAATGGATTTAGGCCACTTTTCACATGAGTCCAAGTGACTGTCCACCAGAATATTAACAAGCTGGTTAAGTGGCACGTTGCTTACGTACCCTGCTGACAACCTTTAACATTCTGCGTAATAAGGTATAGTCTTTCTTCAGTAGCCCTGGAAAAACTAAGGGGGAACAATAGAGAATAATAGGCAGAATGCGAGAGTTCTACGTAAAGGGGGGGAAATCAATAGACGAGGCTGTGAAATTACATCGATTTTGATGGTTAGGACATGTGTTGCGTATGACTAGTCATCGCCTTCCTCGATGGGCAATGTTAGCTGACTGACATAGGGTCAGGCTGGAAAAGAGCTAGCGGCGGTCGAACCAAAGCATGGCACCAATCAATGAAATCTACAACAGTTAGTTTAAGCCAGTCACGTAGGAAGGTGTAGAATGCCCTACTGGTTGGGGTCCTCGGGACGGTGAAAAACAATGGTTGGAAACAATTGGTGATATGGCTCAAAGTGATCGTTCTTCAATGGCTGGTGCAGATGCATCCACTCCTTGTGACTTATAATACCCAATGAAACTATATTGCTCTTCGTTATTACTATTCCTTCGTCTAACACCTCTGTTTACTGTTTCTACTATGCACTTCTTCTACTTTCTTCTCTTGCTTTGTGTGCTACGAGGAAGGAGTGTGGCGACTTGAACTGCCGCACATATATACAAAGTTCTATGTCGAAAACAGGCAGACAGAACCGGAACCCAAAGGAATAAAATTATATATATATATATATATATATATATATATATATATATATATACCGTTAGAATTACTTTAAGAGATATAAGACTGATAAGCAGATAAATTAGATTGAATTAATTTTATCTATTTAACTTAGTGCTACTTCTTTAGACTGAACAAATCATGCAAAGTGACAGATGTGAATGTTTTTCAGGTCATGTTCAAATAGATAAGGGGAAGGGAGTATGAGAGATTGAACTTAAGATAAAATTCCCTACTGCTCCGTTACATCAATTAAATCAACGATTAGTCATCAAAGAATTAATTTAGATACATTAAGAAATTAAATAACAATAATAATAATGTTGAAAGGAATTAGGATAATGCTACTGATAATGGATAGTTTCAAATGATTTAATAATTCCCACTGTAGCATTAAGAACACGATATTCAGCAAAGAGACTCTTTTCAACGAATTTATCATCAAGCTGTACAATTGTATATATATGGTTTTATAAACAAATTATATCCGGTGAGGGAATTAGGTCAAAGGTGTGAGTGAATACATGAAATAATAATAATAATAATAGTATGAAATGCAATCAAAATATTTGTGATTATAATCACAGTTTAGTGTCAAGTGGCAAAATAATTAGCGTCATATATAGAATAATACATAAGGTGTATCTATTTTGGAAAGGTATACATAATTATAAGATTAGCAGACGAATATAAAATGTTACATAACATGGTGTGAGATTTGATAAGATAGAATTCAATTTTGTAAAAATAAAAAATATAAAAATGAATAATTTTGGATTTAGAATGACAAGTGGGTCGAGCGGAAACAATTCAGTGAGAATAGTAATAATAATAATAATCGTAGTGATGAGGGAAAGGTACATAGAATAACTAAATAGACAAAATAAAAAAATGTCTATCCCTCTACGGCCAAGGTAGAAGTAGGGATTGTACATACTTCTTTTGTACACAAAGGTGTGTCTGGCTTAAAGTCATGAATTGCCAAGGCCTCAGCTGTCTTTAGAAGTTTGTAACGAAGAAAACGCGGGAAGTTAGCATGGATTCTATATATGATCTTGAAATCATGGTCAGGGTTGACTGAGTGACAGAAGTCGATCAGGTGCTCAAGAACAGAGCTTCGTACACACTTCCTTTCTCCCTTTTAAAACCAAGCTAGAATATGTTCTTGTATCCGTGTGGAAAGCGTCCTCTAACTACGGCCAATGTACCCTGCTCTACAAGAGCAGGTGAACTGATAGATGCACATGGAGGCAGCCAGACGGGGGAGCTTATCTTTTACAGAGGTAGAGAACAATTTGCGGCTCGTGAACGTCATCTGTAATCTTGCTGCAAAGAACCTTACTAAGGAACATCTTCACGTCAGCACATAACTCATTTTGTTGGAGTGAGCATTTAAATTCTTTCACGAGTTTATTAGTCATCACTCCTGGTAAATTTGAACGTGATCGGTTGCTTTCGTCTGTTTTCATACCCTCTAATCTACTTGTGGTATTGATATTGATTGTTCCCTTGACCTGAAGTTTGACTTTTGAGCATGATATTTTCCTCTTATGGAATGTTAAATTTTATCTATATCAATATGCCTGTCAATTCACTGGAATAGCATGCTTGTAGAATTTCCCTGGCGTTCTTGGCGTTTCCTTTGCCTAATATCTGAGTATTGTCCCAGTCGGATTGATGTCTGTGTTTGTCTTTATGTAGTTGTGTGAGCGAGGGAGTGAATATACTGTCTATTGTCAGCCAGTTTGTGTTTATGGATGTGAAGACGAAGAGAGCGTTTGCTTTAGCCAATGTTGTGCCTTTCGCATTCACCGCAATTTATTTTGTAGAAAATTATCTGTTAGAATTGTCTCAGTTCAAAGACCGCCTTTATTCACTTAATTACAAAACATCAGGGTATCAAGAACAAGGTCTTCAGTAAAATCTTCTTATTGGACTAAAAGTAATGTGAATACATCGTTAAATGAAATTGACAATTCGCAAATTGTTGAGCGATTTGCCATTTGCAGGGTTCCAACGGTTAAAAAAATATATAAAGCTTCATTATTTTGTGTGTCATGCTTTGTTGAGGCACCATGTTTATCTTTATTGTGTCGTTTCAATTTTATTATGTGTACTGCCAAAGTGAGTAACCTTTGAACCATGTACAAGGCGAATTGCAAATCAGTTTGACAGTTGCTAATTTGACTTATTATTTCACCAGTTTGACTAAGTAGCCAGCCAAATATCTGATGGCTTGAACTTATTTGGCCCCTTTGAACTGAGTCAAATCGAGTACACTGGTGATGAGCTCAGTAGTAAACGAACAAAATGGCCGTCCAGTGTACTGATCACGTCAACCCGGCTTGGGTGTCAAGCATTACAGGTTGATGTGAGTGGTGTTCGATTACTCAACTCCACCAATCATGGTATATAATTTTATAGATATTTAATTTTCGGTGTTTTTGGGGAATGAATTCAGAAACCTCATTTCTGTGAAATCTATTCATATTACCTTGACAAAATAAAGGGACAGTTATCTTATCGGAAAAGAGTAATAAGATAAACTGCTTCTCATATTAACTCTGGACAATCTACACTTTGAATTCGTTTGAAAATAGACAAGGAATACACCTACACCTTCTATTTGTATTCAAATGTTAAATGAAATGCTAACTCATGTCTTTATTCTTCATACAACCTTTCTTCATCAAAGGCTAAAACAATATGTCTGGTCAGGACACACGTTCAACAGATGCAAAAAGAAATCAGAATAAATGATTGTATCAAAATGGTGGAAAGAAGTTTAGATCTTGCCAAGGATATACGTGATATTGATCGTATGAGTCTGAGAAATGACTACTGGTCATCCGTGATAATGGAATCAGTCAATTCGTTGAATCTGCAAAAGAGGTTTCCAAAGATATTACGATTGTATCGTGTATTGGTCGGTACAGAGATTGTAAGTCAGCTAACTTGTAATGTCTAACTGATCAACTCACAACGTTGTTGTGGATTTTCAGAGAGATGACGACTATGTTTCGGAACTGACTGTTACTTTGAGATCAACTAAATGTGACTTGGTGGATGACTTGAAGGAATTACGGGCTCTTCGTACAAATTCATGTTATGTTGAATACCAGGAAGTAAGTTCTTATATCACTGTGAAATGAATGAAACTCATTCTTATAGATACATCAGAGGTGCTTATTATGTTTGCTTCAGATAATTTGTTAACGAAACATGTCTTGACATTAGATGGTTGGAAGCAATCGACAGGAAACCCTGCCATACCCAGCTAGTTTTCTTGCTTTTTGGTACTCGTCCACTCACCAGTCAGCAAGGAGTATCTGAAATCTTGAAGAAACTCACTTCCTCTCGGAGATTCGAACCCGTGTCACCACCTAGTGCTGCAGTCAGAAACTTTATCACTGTGGTGGCGAGTCACCCAGCATGATGGCCACAATGCAGACTTGACTATTAGAATTCAGTCTGTAGCAAAATAAAAGACTGGACATATGATACTTCTAACGGGTGTCCAATCAAAGCATTTATTGACATATTCGTCATGCTCAATCATGGTAAACACGATAATTGTCAAGAGTAATTTTCGGTGAATTTCTGGAAAGCATTTTTTGTGCTTAAAACATCACAGAATTTAGAAATATCAATTTACTGAACATACTTTAGAAAGTAAGGTATGTCTTATTGACAGCGACATTTAAGCCCTCTGTGAATTTAAGTAGGTTTATTGAGGCCTACTTGATTCACTTAGGACTTTCTCATTGATTGAACAGAAGTGGTCGGTCTCAGACTGACATGTTGGCTTCTTGTGTGGATGCCTCGATGACGTCTGAGGATTTAACCTAAAGTGATTTGGTGTGTGCTGGTGACTAGTAATTAAATCCAGGATGTGCACCTCGACCTCTTTGGAGCCCGCCAGCTGAGTATACCTCCAATAACTAGTGATTCATGGTGTTTCCAATGACATTCGGACCCAGTACATATCGTTTCAAACACCAAACCGTGACCCAAGTGGTTCGGTAGATTAAGCTTCGCCGTTTGAAACGATGAGTACTGGGTTCAAGCATCAGTGGGAACACTACTAATTACTAGTTAATGCAAGTATATACAGCTGGCGGGTTCCAAAGAGGTCGAGCTGTACATCCTGGATTTAATTGCTAGTCACCATCCACCAAGTTATTCAAACTTGGTTTCAAAGTACTTCAAGTAATGACTACAAGTTAACCGACTATGTTTAGGATTAATTTTATTTGTCTAAGAATTAACTTGTCTTGATGCAGTTAGGATGGAACCAATAGGCCTCAGTGTAAGTGACGTATGTAGTGCCAGTGGAAGTAGAAGATAAACTAGGGCAATGGATATGTTAAGTCTTTATTGTCAACTGCTGGTGTCATCATAACGAGCAAAATGAAGTCTCAGTCTACTAGCTGTACCACAAAATCTCTGCTGACGATAAACTAGTCTTTAAAACTAACTAAATAATAAGAATTGGCGCTCAGATTACCCTGGGAATCTCACGCCAACTAATGGTCTGGATATTCATAGATTAGTAAGGGTTTATAAAAGTACTGAGGATAATAACTGGCACAAGTGTAACTAATATGACCAGATGGATGAGAAAACTTAGTCTTCGACTAGAAATCTTACTCTTTACTTCCTCTTTATGGGATAACTCTATATAGATATCTTCCTTATGTATAGGGTAAGTTATGGGCCACATTCCTTACAGTCATGTGTTTTCCCATGTCCTTAGCAGGCGTTTTATTCGGACTTGAAGAAGCAACTTCCAGATGACTAAGGCCAGTATTTTGCTTTTATTTTGTTCAGCCATCGTTTATCTGCAGACTACGGGTGTACAGGAGTTCGAAAAATGGTTATGTGAGATCATCACACTGGGAAGACTGCCAGAAAATTACAAATCCCTTGGTCTTTCCACATCATAACAAAAAAGAGAAGGTAAGCATGAAGATAATTTTGACTGACTACCAATTTGCCTGTCATACTTTGTAACTGTTTTAAGGTGAATATTTATTATATTATTGTTCTCTTGTGTTCCATGTGAAACATATAGCTTCAAAAACACATTTGCACTTTTCCTTGTCCTCTAAGGTCCTCTTCAGCCGCCCACACATTCGCCCGTAGTCTCTCACCTCCTCCTCCTCCTCTCCACACGGTCTCCGCCATGTCATCCTTTGACCAACACCCAACTCATCCTTTTCTTTTTTTGGCTTCCACTCCAGTGATGGCTTGGTGCACGATATCATTCGACGGCCTCCTCAGTATATCCTAGATACATCTCTATCAACTTGCTTCTAAATATTTGTTGATCGTTTTGTTCCCAAATTTCTAGCTGGCCATCAAATCTTCAATATGGCACGGAGTCACTTGTTGATAAGGGTCTGAAACCTGCTACAAATATATGTATATATATAACAGATAGGCAAGAGTTGGAATTCATCGGTTAGCCATTGGATCGGGTCTGATAGGCTGAACAGTCTACGAGCTTACCTTGCAACCTGTAGGTCCTGGGTTCGGACCCCATTGAGTGCGTACTGATGAAGAGTTACAAACCAGGACGAAACAGATGTTGAGTATTTGTAGGTTTTCGAAGAATTTTCAAGCTGATGTCACCTAGTGATCAGTCCTGAAACTCGGAAGTATCTAGTTTGTTTTAACAAGCATGTCACATAATGAGATGATCTACTAGGACTTCTGTTCCATGCGTGCGTTAATGGGACACAATAGAGGCCTATTCAAATTATTTTCAGGTATCTGATTAAATATGTGTTTCAGGCATAAACTGAATAGTTGTTAGTCGACTCATTATTTCCTGGACAAAGTGTTAAATATGCTCCGTGTGCCTTTATTGCTTACACTTCCATTTTTTGGCCCTGTACCTAAGTCTCCTCTGTAAAATAAGCTTACTGTGACTCAGAATGGCTGTTGGGTTAATGACTGACTGCATTCTAATTTTTCTGTCAAAAAGCAGTACTTTAAAAATAAAAAGAAGTTTTCTGCTACCTTACCTAGTGAGGTCCATGTCCCTCAGGGTGCTGTTCTGCCTACTTTTCTTTAATTTTTCTTCTTACATAACTTGCCTCATTCTGATGTAACCAATTCCGTTAGGTATGTCGATGGTCTGACAACTTCTGCTCCTGTTACAGTCAAATGAAATTGGTCCAAAGTGAATAGCTTTTTATCAGGAATTAGACGATGGTCCTTTTCTGATAGTGTTGAGCTAAATCCCTTCAAATGTCAGGTTGTTGATGCCACCTTCTGATACAAACTACATTTTCCCGAATTGCATGGTTCTCAAGGCTCTTCTATCATAGATGGCATTGAAGTTGAAACTAAGTGGAATTTTAACTACCATGAATTGAGTCTTTCCTTTGATCCTTCCTTATCGTCTTATATTCTGTTGATTTACAGAAAATATCTCATCTAATCTTTCATACAATTCTCTATCACTCATTCTCCCACTTTCACAGTCTGTTAACACTGAGATTCTGCATCTTCTTCTTTGTCGCCAGCACCCCCCCCCACACCTACTTAGTCTTTCGTGGGCTACTTGAGCAAGACTATATTACTTTGAGAATGATACTGAAAGTTGTTGCTAAAATGAATGGCGGGTGTCAACTTATTAATACTGTTGTTGATAGACATTTGAACTCATGCAAAGAATAGACAAAAGTCAATTATGTAGGAATCTGAGCAACCTGTTTATATAAACCACTCTACGTTTGTATCTCATCCGTTAGGCAAAGCAGCAATAGCAGAAAGACTCTGCTCACACACAACTAATCATAAAATGTGGAATGAATTTTCCGAAACACAGTTTGTACATTTCAGTTCATGGATAATCCCCATCCAGGCATTAATGTAAACAAAACACGTAAATCAGCGAAGAGTCTCTTTTCGGCGGCGAATTCATTTTCCACTTCAGCTGTACAATCGCAAACATATGTATATATATATGTTATTTTGTATGTATGTGTACATTAAGTTTGTCAAACAAAATTACAATCGGTTATGGTTATTTTAACTAAACAGGTGAAGATTGGTAATACAAGTGAAGAAAATTAGGTGTTAATGAAATTAAGGTAGTAACAAAGGTGATAAGTTGTCACAAACAGTTGTTAAAATAGAAGTTATGTAATAATAATATGAATAGTTCGATGAGTGAGTTTTACTCCGGATGCACAAAGCGACAAAGTAGATAATACGAAATTACGTAAGAGTTCTAAATGAATACAAGAATTATAAGCAATTAAAGAACAGGCAAAGAAAGCAAAATTAAGTCATCAAAATAAAAAGAATCAAATAAAGTATAATTAAGTAAGTGTGTAAACTATTGAAATATAATTATACTTTATTTGATCTAATCCACAATGCTCAAACTTTTTACTGATATTAAGAATAATCAAATCAAGAAAAAGGAAAATATTGTTACCATGACAGTAGAAGTGGTTGAGTAATCCTATTTTTGATTTTTTTTTATTCAAGCTTGATTCCACACCGTATTTTTTGCTACAGGTATGGAATTTTCAGTATGTGATATCGGTAGCCCAGATTTTGCGGGCCGACCATAGATATCAGGTGTGCATCGGCAGGGGATCGAATCCCGGACCATGTGCATGGTTGGCCAGAGTCCTAAGCACTGTGCCACCCATGCACAGCTCCGGGTTTTCTATGCGAATGGCCAGAGCTTCAGCGACACAAAGAAGACGAAACCGTATTGCCTTTGATAGGGGATTTTTGACTCTGTAGATTACTTTGAAGCAGGAGGCGTTTGTTGAAATGGAATGATCAGTGTTAACCAAGTGTTCGATTATCGCACTCCTTATTGCATCATTCTTGCCTTTTCGCAACCATGCTGTATAGTGTTCTTGAATCCCCTTGGACAGGATGCGCGTCGAACGACCGATGTACCTGGCTGGATCCACAGCAACAAGTGAACTGATATATTCACATAGAAGTGATCAGATGCAGGATCTTGTCCTTGAGGCTTCTGCAGATCTATGCAGACAAAATAGGATAACTCAACGACTTCTACTGTCATGGTAACAATTTGTTTCTTTTTCTTGATTTGATTCTTTTTATTTTGATGACTTAATTTTGCTTTCTTTGCCTGTTCTTTAATTGCTTATAATTCTTGTATTCATTTAGAACTCTTACATAATTTCGTATTATCTACTTTGTCGCTTTGTGCATCCGGAGTAAAACTCACTCATCGAACTATTCATATTATTATTACATAACTTCTATTTTAACAACTGTTTGTGACAACTTATCACCTTTGTTACTACCTTAATTTCATTAACACCTAATTTTCTTCACTTGTATTACCAATCTTCACCTGTTTAGTTAAAATAACCATAACCGATTGTAATTTTGTTTGACAAACTTAATGTACACATACATACAAAATAACATATATATATACATATGTTTGCGATTGTACAGCTGAAGTGGAAAATGAATTCGCCGCCGAAAAGAGACTCTTCGCTGATTTACGTGTTTTGTTTACATTTTGTACACTGTAATCACACACGTACTTGTCCTACATATTTACATATAAACGCAACAGAGCATAACGGATTTAAATTTTTATCAATATAGATCAAAATGTTTACTGGTCATGCTCACAGATAAGGGGAAAGAGAGTTTGAGGTGAGAATAAAGGGGACGGGGGGAAAGGAGAAAATATTACGAAGTAAAATGAACCTTGGTCATGAAATCGGATAGCCGATTCAGGGTCCAGGTATTATCGAATCATTTCTGAATATATAAAACAGGTTTAAGCCTTTTTATGTGTACAGGTTGAATATTTTCACTTCTCCTTTATTGTTACCTCATTTTCCTACTCCTTGCCCTCTCTGGTGGTTCAGAAATAGGACGGTCACTAACCACGTACATAGTCTTGGGTTCGATCCCCCTGCTAATGCCCTCCTAAACCTCACTAAGCCGGCAGTGAGTCTGGTTGAAAGGTTGGGTGTGAGGTAAGTGATCCTACTCCGTAAAAATACAATTAGTGATACAGAAACTTCAAAGCTCTATGGTTCACTTGGAACTCAACGGAATCAAATAAAAATAAAGTGATCATTAATATAAAGTTGCCTCTACTTCTCTTGGTTGATAACTTTAATTTTACATTGATATTTTAAATGATGCTATTAATATTGCATGGTTCAACTCGCCAACTTCCACTAACTGATCAAAAATGTTGCACATTTTCAGCTGCAAACATAGCGATATCTTGTGGAGAAACATTATCTTCATGGGTGTGAGATATTCGATTGAAAAATGGAAACGAAATATGTGACCAAATCAATACCTTTAGTCTCCTATGATTAGGATTGAGACTTTGTGGCCATTAAATAGGTTCGATCACGAATCGATATCAGTCGCAGAATCACTGAGACAAAGAGAGCACTTTACATCTATTTCGTCCCTACTTGGGACTCTTCATAGGTACGCACTCACCAGAGCTCGAAATCACAACCTTCCAATTACAAAGCGAGAGCATAGAGTATTCAGCCACTAGGATCCGGTCCTTTGGCCAGCCCATGAATTCCAATTTCTGACAATTCACTATATGTGTAGTGCCACCGCTCGTAAGATTTAGATATGATGGAGAATATTTGGAGCTCAGAGGACACAACTGCACCAAAATGTAACGCCACTGCCTTACCAGTGGGAACCTACAAGTCAGATAAGGGATCAGTTATTCGCCTATGACACTGGCTGGTGATTACGCCATATATGTCGCAGATTAGTATAAGACGAAATTTATAGGCTTACAAGTGAACCGAGTCCCAATGACTGAATCGTCTACAAAATTGAGACTAAGCGATACATCCGTCCCTGTGGTCAAAGCTTAGTGGGCCTATATGATTTGACTGGAATGATGATGAGATGTATTTTGATTTCGAAAAGTCACTATTAACTGAAAGAACAGAACTTCATTTCAAGAATTATATAGATCACCGTTAAAACGAAACTCACCTCTATGATTAAAATAAGATACATTGTTCACCAGACAGCCCATTAAGTGAAATTCGAGTGGGGAACGAAGAGTTGGTTGTGTAGTTGATAGTGACATAGAGGTGGTCCTGTGAGGAGTAGGAAATGAAAGCTCATGGGCACTTGTGGTGTCACTGAAAGAGGATAGCAGAGAACAGGTCAAAATGAAGCTAATTTGCTGAAGCTGTATGTTCCGCTTGAAGCCCAAGAGATTATTAATAATAAGTAATATATTATCGTAATCTCAGTGTTATAGGTAAAGTACAGTGAATAGAGAAGTGACTTTATATTTATAAAATGTTTCAGAGGTTCATTTGTAAGTTCAGTTTTCTCATATTAAGCAGACACGTTTCCATCAATACACGTATATTGTACTGTGAATAGATAGTTTCTATATGTATGTGATAGGCTTTAATACTTTTAAACTATAGTCCAGTTAAATTCACTACACTATCTCTTCCTTCCTTGTCTTTGAACTATGCATTTCACAAAACTTTCATTTTCTCTTCCCCCAAAATACCAGTATCGGTCAAAAGAATTATTCCTAAACACTACACAATTACGCCGTCCACTTAAAACACACGAACTGGCTGACAAACACTTTAAAGATGCAGTTGGTAAATGGTTTCAGGTGTATGATTCATATCACAAAAACGCACCACATGTGGCTGCACACTCCTGGATTGTAGATGCTTATTCTGACACTCATGGTACGTATACATTTACGTCTGTTGTGGCATTCTATGCTTGTAATAATCCAACTGAAGATCAAGGGAGACAAACAACTAACAGCTGTGATAAATCAAAATCAAAGGTAAGTTGAAGACGAATTGTGTTCATATGACTGATTGGTCCTATATTTCTAGTAATAATGTGAATAAACTAAGATTCATGAAATTTCCGACTGTTATGTTGGTTATACTCATAGTGTTGTTGGTAAGATTACCTGAAATTATCGTCTGTGAAGTGTTCTACACATTCTACAAGAAGAAGAAAGTCTCAGAGATTGCTTTAACCTATTAGACTTTCAGTTGCCTTCTTGTGAGTTGAGTGAATATTTATACCTTGATTAATAAAATGTGTACAGCTGTTAGATCATTAGAGGCAATTGGCGAGATTCCCCATCCATGAGCTTCGTGCTTGTCAGCATCCATCGGCAACGTGTGTCTGCAATGTTGAAGGAATTCATGTTACTTCTGAGATTAGAACACAGGCTATCCAGCTCCACAATCAGAGATGTTATCACCGAGATATTCGAGCTCGCGACCGATCTCCAGTAGGAATGTATTGGATATTTTGATTGGACTCTGGAAGTAATCCATAAAAGCCGTGGAAATTGCCTACAACTATCTAATTACAACAATTCTTCATGTGCTTGTACTTGATGCAATCACTGAACGAATTTTGACAATCCTCTGTCACAGACAACCAGTAGTGAGTTTTTGTGCATTTTTACTCACCTCTCTTTTCATTCATCTGGGGGAAGTGTATAGACTATTATCGCATCGGTGCATTGGGTTCAACGTAATAACAGTACAAATATATTTGGGTAGAGGAAAAGAGTGTGTCGGGACTACAATAGATCTAATTCTACAGGAGAAGGAATACTTAATTATGTGTTGAAGGATTCAGTGGACTTCTGTACAGTGCATACAAATTCTTCGACGGATAGGCGAACATCGCAGTGGCACTGTAGATGACGCCAGTTGTCTCCATACTGTGATTTCATTAGCAAGCAGTCAATTAGAGCTGATGAAGCTCCTCAAATACATGAAGGCATCAACATATTGAACAATTTCACTACCTATCGCTAAACTAGAAGTTTGCGCAAGCTAGTTACGTAGTATTATCTTTAAAATGAAATGTGCAACTACAATGTCGTACATATTAAGCCAGAAGTTCGCTCAGAGTGTTCTAAAGTCTTTGCAGTTTCACGAAGTCTTGACCTAGATGGACTATGTCATCTGCATACCTCAGACTGACGAGACTAATTTTCGATCATATATAAACCACCGCGATGCCGAATTCGGTAACAATTCTCAACTCCTGACAAACTCCATCGATTGTTTTCACTTCATGTGACTGTCATCTGCCAGCCTCTTCAAGGCTACTTAAATTGGAGTGGACTGTTTTTGCAGTACAATATGATTTTTCTTTACTCCTGTCACAGAGGTAAATTGCCACAACAGCTCTTAATCGACTGAGTGAAATGTCCCCTGGACGACAAGAGATATGGTAATCATTGGGCACCTTGCAGGTGGGCTGATGTCTGTATTCCATTGAAGCAGGGTTAGAACTGAGGACAGCTGTAGTTCAGCTGCAGCCTACTTGAATAACCCCCTTAAAGTGTTGATTCAAGTATTCTAACTGTCTTTCCTGAGAAATTGTAGAAGTTTGATCCTTCTTCAAAAATTGTTTCATCCAACATTGGTTGTATAAAGCCCACAAACAGACTAGTGAGCGATTTGTCTTTGCCCAGCTACCCGGGAATGAGTGGCACTCCTCCAACGATCATATCCACATATAATTAATATCTAGGTGATCCTTAGTTCGCTTGAATTAGGGCAAGCAGTGAGGTAAACTGAGTCTTTATGTTTAAAATAAGTCCTGTCAGTGAAGAAAATGATAAACGGAGGTTGTCCTTGTTTCTTCTTCAGGATGAGATAGCGCAGATATCCTTTTTAGGCACTGAAATATGACCATATAGAAGTACTTTACTTTCAGCGGCGAACTAGGTAGTTTTTCACATCTAGATACAGTCAGTTGATGTATAAGTGGAGATTACGAGAAAACATCCATGACTATGCAGATGTTTACTTTCTCATGAAGATACATTAAGTCGGACGGAATGAATGTGATTGCTTCCCGGGAACCAATCGAGCGCCGAGTTCTTACCCTCACCGCAAGTGCTAAACAGTAACCGAACGATCTCTCCAGCATATCAGGATATGAGAGGAGATACTTTGCAGACGATGTGTGTACACTTTTACAAAATCAGTCTGGGAGACCACTAATAGACTGATAATTTGGTTTATTGGACATAAAGTTTATTTAACATGGTACTCATACAATCTGTTGCCAATGCATAATGATAAATTTACCCTTGATTCATATATTTCACTCGTTATTCTCTCTTTACCACTCCTTTTAGACACATTATCGTTTATGTGATGTGGAAGTCACAAAGAAACTTTATGTTGCATATACCTGTCAACGTGATATCTTGGATTCTAAACCATCAAACGCGAAACTATTGATGCCAGGCTCAGAAGAAGAAAAACTTCTTAAATATCGTAGTCTAATTGAGAAAGATTTAAATGCACGAGCGAACCTACCATATACTTATGAAATAGTTGAGACCAGCCAATGGACAATAAATGTAGGTTTAATACTTTTTGTTCAATCTATCAAGCCTTGGATCTGCCATGTGACTAGATTTTTACTGTATGCGATGAGATACTTGAAGATGTTTAGCAGTCCGGGTACGACCTGAAGAAGGTTCCTTCACCTTCAAGAGAAAATATATCTCTGTGGAAATCATGACATTGTTAGACACTGCTATTTGTGCCGAAATTCAAAAACATCTTCATTATATACGCATCACATTGACTTCCCCAACCGTCGCGTTCCTCAGTTAATATCTTAATTCAGTCTTCTCTCTTCATATCAATCAATAATATATCAAAGTTTACACACTACAGGAGCCAAATAAAGTACAGAAACGCTAGTAAATACAAAGACATATACTCCTGCTCTTCGATTTCTGAAATGAAACGTATGCTTCTTCATTTCTCTTGATAAGCAACTCGAAGAAAATATTAGTGGACTTCGACTGACTGTCAGCACAATACGCTAATTTTATGTAACTGCTTAAATCTATGTTGTTTCAGTCAGAGATGTAGGCTTCCAGAGCATTTTCTTCCCTGCAACTTTTAGATTAGATTACGTGAATGACGTCTATTTCATGATATTTTGTCACAATGAAGTTTTTGCGTTAAGTAATGAAACACTGCGTTACTCTATAGAAGCATTTTTTGTTTCTAATTGTTTCAAACACCTACTTGAATGAGAAATAAAACAGTATACCAAATTTGTTCAGACCACTGTGTTATTCGCTGTTTCCCTAAGAAATAGATTAAACAAAGTGACAGCCACTAACTTCATTTTTATTATTATTGTTTCTTTTAATTCCAAGAGGAACATAGGGCCTCAGCCGCCCAAGTCTCCATTGTATTCGGTTCCCTGCCAACGTTTTCAGTTGGCTCTAAGTCTGCTCAAACGCTTTCATCTCTTCACATGACCTCCGCCAAGTCACCCTCACACTGACGACCAACTCACCACTTCCCTTTCACGTTCCACTAGAGAAATGGTTGTCTAGTGATGTCACTTGATGGTTTCCTCAGAGTATGACCAGCCAATCCACCTCCATTTCTTCCTGCATATTTGTTTCATAATCGGTTCCTGGTTGGTTTGCTCATTGCCAGAGATCCCTGTTGCTGATGTCTTCTGTCTGGCCATCTGATCTTGAGTATTGAGTGAAGACAGATGTTGATGAAGGTCTAAAGTTTGTTTGAGGTGCTCTTCATGACGCGCAGTGCAAGTCTCTGATCCTCATAGTGAGTAGCACTGACTTTACATTGGAGTTGAAAATCCGGATCTTATTTTTGATGCTGTGTGCTGTTGACCTCCATACAGACTTAAGAGTAATGAAAACTTGTCTTTCTTTCCCGATCCTTACTTTGACATCCTCGTCAGTTCCGCCTATAGTTGAAACGATGCTTCCCAGGTAGGTCAGCCACTAACCCATGATTCGAAAAATCCAGTTATTCGTCTTAACTGTATACTTCAGGGAGTTTTGTCTTTTGATTCATCTGGCAGTTTGTTTAGCTTGTGATTATGTAGAGATATACATATATATAAAAATCATTGTTCCCGTGGTTTCTGAGTGGAATGCTGGGCTTCAAAAGCACTTCTTCATCTTGTCTTATTCGCTACCGTCCTATTTAATCGGCCTCATGACTGCATATAGTCTCTCATGTCTTCCTCACGGGACCTCCTGTATGTCACTGTTGGACTCACTGACAACTCGTCATTATCCATTCACGTCCCACTCGAGCGAGGGCCTGCATGGAGCTCTGTATCATTCAATGGTCTCCTCAGCGTGTGTCTTATCCACCTTCATCGATTTTCCTCAGCAGATTTGTCAAGCAGTAGGATCTCAGAGTAACCTATCACCAATTCTTTCTGGTCTGCTATGTCATCTTCATTATCAAGCCAGTGGAGGCAAATGTTGATAAAAGTCTGCAGTATCCCGTTAAAAATACTCTGCTTGACACACGTGTCAAGTTTCTGACCGACATAGAAGAACTGAGTTACGTGAATCTGGTGTTGAAAAAATTTGAATTTCGTTCTTTATGCCGAGCGCAGTAGACTTCCTGATGGACTTTAAAGTGACGAAGATCTGTCTTGCCTTTTGAATTCTTGTCGACTCTGACATACTCATGAATGGTGTTGCCTGTAGTTAAAATGATGCCTCCAGGTAAGTGAGTGAGGTAAACTCTTTCAAATTTCTTCATCTGATAATGATAATGGTAATCTTCATCATCTCTGTCTTCCCTATGTTCACCTAAAGTCGTGTCTTCACTGCCATCCAGCTTCTTCTGCCGGTTGATTTGTTTTCACTTCGAAGTCTTCCAGTTTGTATGACATTAGACATAAATCTTCTACGCTCGAAATCCAGATCTCCTAGGGTCTTCTTATCCATGAGTATCAGGCATGCTTGTCTTCTCGCCCCCACCCCCCAGTCATGATGTGACACATAGTCCAGTCCACTACAATTAGGAGTATCATCGGTGATATTAGGCACGCGGCCTTGTCTTACCCCTGTATTCACTTCATTGGTTTCGCTAAGTTTTCTATTGTGGATTACCAGACATGTGGTATTGTGATACATTCAGCTGTTGAATGAGGTCGATAAAGACTTGGGCACTGCTCTCCATAGTGTTGCAGTAGTTCCCAAACTACTTCACGATCAGTGCTGTTGAAGATCCCTAAGATTAAGTGGAATTGATTTAGAGGTTTGAATGTCATTCTATAGTCTGTTTCATAATGATTCATAGATTCGCAATTTGCTCAGCACATGATTTGCCTCCGTAGGGTAGCGTTTTGCATTCAGTGGATTTCTTATTCTTCACTGGATGATATGACTTTCTATTATGCTTGGCTCAGACGAGAGCATGATTCCACGCCAGCACTTTCAGTGACTTAATTCAGCCCTCTTTGGCAGTTTGACAAGGTGGTTTTGACAACAGCATGTATTCATATATGCTGTTCAGCACAGACAATCAATACAGACGTTTCAAACATCTCTGTTAACAGCGAATTTTATTATTCTCGATTGAATAGACTTCATTCATTCCCTTCTTTTTCAGAATGACAGCTTCAAGTTGAATGTGTACTTAAAACCAACGGTTTGCAAAAAGGTTACATGCGACATCGAACAGAACAAGGTGGGTTAAACCGTTTCTATCCTATTTGATGAAATTACCTAGAATGTTGAGCATCACGCAAACAGTGTAAGAATAAATTTATATATATATATTGAAATATTTGTGCATGTTACCGATGAAATCGCCTCACAGTTGGAACATAGTCATTCATTCATAGTATTCTGGAATTTCTGATTAGTTCAAATTTTCACTTCAATGAACATTTACTGCATTTCTTCCCGGTGCAAGATAGGTGATGACTGCTTAACTGGAAGTGTAATACTCCTGTATGACAGGCTAACAAAAGTGCTTTAGATGTTGAATATGTCCAAACCAAGTTCACTTTGAACAGTTTGAAAAATGCGGTGTTTTTATATTTCCAAATGAATAAAAGCCAAAATGCTATTGTTGTTTTTACAGGCGTTTCTCTATTTGATGCTGCTGATGGCTTTATCACAGTGGTATTACTAAACCAGAACTCACAGGATCTGAGTTTGTATGTAGTAGTAGAATTATCGTTCTTCAGTATGAGGCAATTTTTATGTTGTCAAATTGGCCAGTGGGTAAAAAGATAACATAGCCATGTGTAGATTGTTGGATTTGAAACGTCCATGAAGCTACGAAAACAGCATGTGTTAACATAATGAAATTGGTTTCAGGATTTCATCATGAGCTGACATTAGTTAGAGAACCATTGGAAAACCTGGGAGTACTGGACAGCTGTTTCGTCCTAGTTTGGGACTCTTCAGCAGTACGCACCCACCGGGATTCGAACCCAGGAGTCCCAAACTAGGACGAAACAGCTGTGTTGGTTTTTTAACTTCATGAGGAGGCGAGTATTGAAGCCAGGACAAGTTCCGTCTGAGCCAATCATTCTTATTTAGACAACTTGGATTCCCTTTTGGTATAAAAGGCTTCTGATATTAAATGTTCTTTGTGATTTCGGAAATTTTTCTGGATTATTTCAATTTTTGTCAAAACCAATTTTGCGGCCTGATTCTATAGCGTGTAGGTTGAATATGACTGATAGGTTTTCAGGCTTTTTCAGTTCAACCTAGTTTCTTAGTGGTTGAACAGATGCTTCAGAGTGTTCATTTCATTTAATCTTGATTCGTCATGAGGTTTGTCTGGTGTATATTACATCAAATTTCCATCATTTTATTTCATACACACAATTAGATTGTGAATCCTTTGAGATTAGGCTTTTGATATGAACTGGCTGGCTTTGCAGTGCATCAGTTATTTTGAAGGAAACCCTGATGCTGCTCTTATTGAGCACTCTTCTGATAGTGTCCGAAGTTTCTGATCTATATACGGAATAAAAACTGTTGAAGTACATGTCTCCGGAATACATATTCTACCATGTTTAATGTGGATGTTGATTTTTATTAATGAAATTCTTTGGATAGTTATTTTGCTTAAGGGTTTCAGTAATGTTTGATATTTCTTCTTATTTTTTTCCTCACCTCTGAGATCACCTCAAGCAACTGATACCGAGGAGTTGATGGGGTGTGATAACTCGAAGTCTAAATATTTGTCGAAGTGTGTTTTCTTCTTGAATATATAGAAAAATTAAAACATCCGTTTCCTCTCCTCTTAACTAGACGGTGCAGAAAAGGCATCACACGGAATTCTTATTCAACTTCCGAAGTAAACTGGATGTTGAGAGACAGATTGATCAGTCTCCCCAAGAATGAATTGTGTAGCGCTAGTATTAGATTTCTTCGAAAACCTTAATGGGATAACTGTCGTCGTTGTGGCACACCAGTCAGTCAGACATTTGTCAGACTAGAACCGATGATCAAATGAAAAAGAAATCACGAGATGTTTTGACGTACAATCCCAGCTGAGAATTCTGCATGTCCATTGAAATAATGACTTCTGAAATGACTCTTGTAATTGTGCTGCATACAGTCTAAATGCTCACAACAAATTACTGCATATTTGCACAGTTTGAATTTCGATGGACTTCAGTAGATGTAGGAAAGATGTCTTTTAATCATCCCGGTGGTTTGAGGTGTTTAATAAAGTTGCACAATTTGGAAAATGTTTTCTATACCACCAGTGTCGTTGTTAAACGCCTATGTTGACAATTGTTGTTGCTCTTACTTTTATTTTATTACACTTATTGAAGGATAAACTTATTCTTTGTGAAGTTGAAGCGTTCTACAAGAAAAATGACCAAAGCCATTTAGAGAGTATCGACATTTCCAACTGTCTAATGATGGAGAATCTTAAGCAGGAGTTCGTTGGACACTGGGACACTGTAGAATATGAAGATGTCAAAAATACATATTTTGACTATCTTGTCAAACAAGCTGTAGAGCTATTCACTGGCAGTGGACAAGTCTATCCCAAAGAAGCTATCCAAGTGATGAATGTAAAAAATATCAGTGTACAGGTTGGTTTCAGCTTTTGTGTATTCCGAAGTGTTGATTACATTTCATCATTTAGGTGGGCGAAAATAATGTGACAAGTTTCAATATACTCTTGAGTTATCAGCAGGAGAATTCTGCCATGAATCAGAGATCTTTAACACCAGAAATCGATGGTCTCTACGGAATGGACTGTTACCCTAAGTGTGCACAAACTAATAAGGTAAGGCGAAAATTTTAGATAATAATCATGCATGAAACATGCTGTACTGTCAGTGGTATTTAACTGTATTTAGGATATTTACACAAATTGAGGTTTTCATGATGCAAGACAACAGGATTGTAGTAGTGGTCAGACTAGAAGGCTGAATTCACAAGGATAATTAGAGAGAGAAAAGAATAAGTAGTTCAGGAAAGAAATGTTTGTGGTGGCCTGCTTAAAACATGGGCTACTGTAAACTTTCATCGGCATACTGCATATAATTTCTCTCATTGAGATTGCGTGTATTCAGGGAAGTATGAATCGCCACACCGCTGATCATCATTGAACAGAGCTTGGAATGGCAGTTACCTCTCCATCTCAACTTCATCGACTTTGAAAAGGCATTCGACAGCGTCGATCGCTACTACGGGGGACCACCGGCAATTATACATCTCATCCAACAGTTGTACGACAACGCTGCATGCCAAGTAATCCATCCATGTCCTAGTTCTAGTGAGAAGTCGTGACCAGTAGGGTGCAGAAGGTCAGCTGTGAGGGCAAATACTTGCCGAAGACATTGGCTGAGGATAGCGCTATGTCATGAATTGGCAGATGTTAGGATTCATGGGTCATTGGATCGGGTTCTAGTGACTCAATGTTCTACGAGCTAGCTCGCTCTCCTTGTAACCAGAAGGTCCTGGGTTCGAACCCCACTGTGGTGGGTGCGTACTGGTGAAAACTAGGAGGAAAAAGCTGTCCAGTACTCCCAGGTTTTTCAATTGTTCGCTAACCAATTTCAGCTCATGATGAAATCCTGTAACCAATCAACCAAATCCCTACAAACCAACACTTAAATTGTATGTAATTGCGATTGTACAGTTTTTAGGGATGAAATCGCCGAAAAGAAATCTCTTCTTAACTCCCTGCCCTCTTCTCACTAATATTCTGACGAGTAGTTTTCACAAGAATAATTAGCGTTGATGAAGATGTAGTTGAAATTATAATTAGAATGGGTAGAAGTTAGACTAATGACGTTTTCTATAGTTCTGCCCGTTGAATTATGAACATAAACTAAGCAAAGGGAATGTCCATAGACATTTCCTGGGAGACACAGACTCTACCTATCCAAACGGGACCTGATGACTTCCATTATGATGTAAATGACTAACTCTCAGGTAAAATTAAGGTTGTCAAAGCTTGCTACATCATTACTCTAAATGTCTCATTAAGATGAACGCCGTATTCAATATCAGCAAGTTTTGTCCGGATAAAGTGACTTGTTTATCACTTGCCTCATTATATTTCTTACTTATGTTATTCCTTTATGCTCCTAGTGGGACGATGGGTTTCAAGATAAAGCTTTGAAGTCTCGGTTGCAGTGGTTTCATTTCTATTTGCTGGTTTGACAGCCTCACACCTAATCTTACCTCTTTACTTGATGTAACACTGGCTTGGCAAACTATGGATGTTTGTTGACCGGGTATCGAACTTCTAACCCCCCACGTGAATGGCGAGCATTCGACCTCTGAACCATTGACGCTCTGCTTCATCGTGCAGGACAATATCTGTCACACACAATACCCAGTTTTAACTAGAACAACGAGTGGATGCAAAAGATTCCTCTCACTCCTGAAGAAGATGCTCATAAGCAAACCGAATTGGCTACACCCTAGTGACCACTCAGTGTATTTAACACATCCTTAAAGGAGATCAGTCATTCAGTGGTTATGTCTCTAATTGAGAGGTGATGTGATACTGTTTAGAATCCCAGTTAGCAGAGAGAACATCACTGAAATCGCTTTTTGAAGATTTTCCCTGACGACAAGTGCTAATTAGCACAGGAACTCGATGCATAGCTCCCTGCTACTTGCTTCTAATCATGCAAGAAGGTTCATATAGTTTAGTAAAAAGATCACAGCGTTTGTAAGAGTGAAATCGCTGTGTTTAAACGAAAGGACGCTGCTAAATTCAAAATCTAATGAAATCTGTAAAACTCTACACAAAAAAAATAAGAAAAATCGTTACTTGAGTGGTGTTGAACAGTCTGCAGCTTTTCACTGTAGAATCAATTCCAGGGCTATTGCTTCGTAATCAAATGCTACTCAGTGAGGTTTCACGGTAAGAATGATTCTGCCTCTTAAAATTTTCCCACACTGTCCACCATTTTAAATGTAATGCTACTGCTCACACTCTCCATCTGCGATTTCTCAAATCATGAAAGGAAATCACCGTGGTACACTGTTTGTCCAGTATAGAGTTCGATATGAATACACATACTAATTTATCATGACCCGATGCCATCGAAACAGAAGCTTTCATTGTTATCCTTCTTTTCTTCATGCTAATCATGTCCTATTATCCATTTTCGCAATTACTTCACATTTCACTTTCATTCACAGAAGTGGCAATGTAGCTTTACAGCTGTTGCAGACACAGTTAAACAGAAAATCAACACAAGCCTGCACAACTGTTATCAATTGCTGGAAGAGCCAGATAGTGAAAATGTTTCAGAAGAAGCAAAATCCTTAGGCGAATCTGATTTGAAGATTTCTGATGATCTCAAGGGAATATTTGACAAGGTTTTAAGATTGTATAACAAACGCTCTACTAGTTTAGTCTACGACAAATTAGTTTCATACAAGGACATGCAAAAACAAAAAGTGTCAATCGTTTATAAACAGACTTTTGGTGACAACAGTCACACGTACAACACGAAAGGAGAGAATTTCACATTCACCGTCTACTTAAAGCCAACTGGATGTGTAAAATCGAGGCATGCAGATAAGATAAAGCATGAAAAGTTTGAAGATTGTGGAGCAGTGACAGAAAATGTAAGTTGATAAATTTTGTTAACTGGTGAAATCTAAAGAAGACTACATTTCAAATCAAACAGTATTATTCTTCTCATGTAGGACTTATTGGAAGGTCGCCCCAAGTCTATTTTTCGGTGATTATAAGTAGTAAGATAGATATGAGCAAAATTATTAACCAATTGAAGAAATACCACTAATTTTTGAAGAGCGAAAACGAGTGAAGAGTCTGTATGATTGAAGTCTGACTGATGATTTTGACACAGAACCTCAATCAGATATGCACTAGTTCAAGTTCCCCCTCTCCCTATATGTAGCACATGAAGAAAGAGAAGAGAGTAATGGGAGATTTAAATGACACAATAAACAAAGGACTATCAGTGAGGGAAAAAGGATAGTAATATGGAAGAACAATGGAGTTTTGTTGATTATGACAAATCACAAATAGCGAATGCATCTGAACTAGACCAGCCATTGACAACCAAGAATTCAAGCTATATCACCAAGTATTGCCAGCATCATTGTTACTTACCATCCCGGAGACCCCAACCAGTCAGCAAGGAAGTCTATAGCCCCCTGCGTGTCTGACTGGCTTGCCGGCTTAAACTGAGTGTTGTGGATTTCATTTGCCGATAAAGCATGTTTTGGTTTAACCAACACTAGCCCTTTCTCAGTCTGGTCCAATATATGCCAATTTTCCCCATCCAGAAATGCTATGTCTAGGGATGCATGCTTAACATATGTCCTAACCATCTCAGTCGATGCAACTTCACAACTTCGTCGATTGATTCCCCCCTCGACCGTAGACTAATCTCAGTATTACTCACCCTAATATTTTACCTCCACCTAACGCAGACATCTGTGATCGAAGACAGCTAGCTAGTCTTTTTAGTTTCAATACCCAAGTCACTCAAGGTGATAGGGGAGAAAGGAACAAATGACTACTGATCAGTACAAACGTCGTTTGGTTGATAGTCATCCATCTGGATATCACGTCTACTAAGCGAGAGATGGCATATATTGTCAAATGGGAAACCAGTCTTCTGTATTCATGCTGAGATTTCGTGGTCAGTTAACTCATTGGGACTAATGCAACTCCCCAAATAAGTGAAGCGATCAACACGCTCCTCCAACCACTTCACTCCTACCTATATTTAAGCTAGGAGTGATTCGATGTAGTCCTGTTCTAAAGCATCCTCTTACATTTGACAGCAGCGCGTGAGTTCCATGGCTAGTATTGGAAGAATGCTTTCTCCTCAAGGTGTGTAGAAGACTGAACACTTTGTCTGTGCCTTCACTTAGTTGGGAGGACTATACCATTTGCATATTCTAAGTCAACCAGATTATTCCCTGGTAACAAGTCAATCTATGAGTAGGTGAAGTCCGTTATGGTCAATTCCACTAGTGCATCTATGATGAAATTAAACAGAAATGGGGATATCCGTGGGCACCTCCTAACGGACACCACTGGTTATCATCACAGTTGCCAGATCGCCTGGATAAATGCGATTTATTTCCTAAGCATTTTCTTCAGAGCCAAACACCACCACCACAGCCACCTCAGGTTTTATTATGAAGTCAAGTTATTTGAATTTTCCATGAATGATGATATAATTGTATCTCCTCCTCACAGCGATTGTCATGATTGTTTGTTGATTTACATCTCTAATGATCACTTCTACTGACTTCGAATTTGTAATTTCTTGTCATGTGATTTACTTCCTGTTAGATGGGTTAATTTAGTCTACTATAACACGCTTGTTAATCGCTAATTGACTTGAGTCCTAGGCCTGTAGAAATTCCCTGACTGCATTTTTAGTGTTTCCTCTATTTAAAGTTTCCACATTATCTTAATCAAATTCGTGTCCATAATTATCTACATGCATTGATATGAAAAAATATACCATATCACGCCGTTTCACAGGTAAATTGTGTTCTTGGATTCAGACACGAAGGGGATACCCACTTTGACCGATGTAATGTTTATCACACTTCATGCACTTTATTTTATTACTATTATTCCCTTGGGTTCCTAGTGAAACATAGGACTTCAACTTCACGTCTCCCTCCACTTGCTTCTGTCTTCTGCTGTACTTTTCACATGCATCCATGTTAGTCCATACTGCTTCAACTCCTCTTCACACGATCTCCTCCATGTCACCCTTGCACTGACGTCCTACTCGCTGCTTCCCTTTCGGTCTGGCTCCACTCGAGCAATGGCCTGACGCGCGCGCGATGTCACCCAGCGGTGGCCTCCTCAGCGAGTGTCCAATCCATCTCAATCCACTTTCTCCTGCATGTATGTTGGTTGGCGATTGGTTCTTCTTTTGTTTGTTCCCATAGTTTCTTGTTGGTGGTTCTTTCTGGCCCGGCTATCTGATTTTCACCATAGAGCCAGAGAAGACAGTTGTTGGTTGATAAAGGTCTGCAACAGGCTGTTGGAAATATTCTTTGTGACCCGCCTGCCAAGTTTCTGATCCGTATAAGAGAACTAACCGACTTGAAGTTTGTATTGAAAATCCGAATTTTTTTGTTGATGCTGGCTAAGTGACGAAGATTTCCAGATTGGTTTGAGTCAGGTTGATGAATGTGTTTTTCGCCTTCCCGATTCTCGCTCGATTTGACATCCTCGTCCGTTTCGACTGTCTGTAGTTGAGACAATGCTCCCTAGATAAGTGAATGAAGTAACCTCTTTCAAATCCCTCCCGTCGATGGTGATTGGCGCTGGATGTTGCAGCAGTTGTTGTTGTTGGTTGGTTATTTTCATCACCTCCGTCTTGTCTATGTTCACTTGGAGTCCTGTCTTCGCCGGCTGCTTCTTCGACCAGTTTGTCGGTTTTCGCTTGTAAGTCTTCATTTTTGTGCAACATCAAACATAAATCATCCACGCTCGAAATCCAGGTCTTCTAGGTTCTTCACATTGGTCCAGAATATCCCTGTCTTCTCGTTTCCCACTGTATGGAGCATAATCCAGTCTACCACATTAGGAATGTCATTGGTGATAATAAGCACCCTTATCTGACTCCTGTGTTTACTCCAAACGCCTCGTTGAGTTTTCCGTTGTAAATCACTTGACATGATCCACAACGGAAAACTTAGCGAGACGTTTATTTTGTAAATGATATTAATCTTATCTTCTTTCGTTGTTGGATCCTTTTGTCTCCACACTATTGAATGAAGTGATTGTGTTGACTTTTGGGCTATGTCTATGTCCAGTGGTTTTAACATTCTAACCGACATTTCAGAGATATTCCGTATATTTGGTAGAGTGAATTTGTATGTAGTTTTTGATGATGGTTTCTGAGTTGGCATTACGAATTGAGTTTAAACACTTTTTAGTGAAATTGTAAATGGGTATTCATTCCTTTTGTAGATAGTTGATAGATATTTCTCTTCCATTTTCTTCAGCATTCGAGTGTGCTACAGTGTGGTGTCGCCTGCTCTCTCGTAAACAATGCCTGCACAACATTTCATTTGTCAGTCTTTGGGTTATTGCTATTATAGTTGAGTATTTAATCTGTGTGTTTCTAAAACTATTTTTTTAAATTGTTCTCTTCTTCTCTAGTACACAGTGGTTTGTCAAGTGACTGCACTGCAAGAATACGATGACGAAGATGACGACGAGGAGGACTTGTTTATACGAGTTCGATTTGCAGAATGCACTACAATTTATAAGCGTAAATGGCAAATACCTGAAACTTATGATGAGATTTTAAAACGAACCCTATCCGTATTCAATGCACAGAATGGACGGCGTCATTTGTATTCAATTAATACAGTTGAAAATTTCACAATGACAACTAAAAGTCATGCAAAAGATACAGAAGCGAAGACTATTCACTTTGATGCTGTTTTTCAACCAACATATTGTGTGAAGGGTAGACATGAACGCTTGTTCTATGACAATCCGGATCACTGTACAGATCCTGAGGTTACGGTGAGTTTCTTATATCGATTTGATGAACAAAACAAGAGGGAAATAACTATCCTTTAAAATTCATTAAGAAGATCGAAAAAGGCCAAACGAAAAATAAAAAGAATTGTGAAACTAATAATAATAACATAAAGAAGAGGGAATATAAGTCATCTACAGTTATACCATATAAAGAGGGGACATCTGAGACCCTACGTAGGATTCTAAATAAAGCAGGAACTAGGGTGGCATTTAAACCCAAAAACTCAATCAGGTAGGACAAGCTCTGTTGGCCCAATTAAACAAAATAATATAATTTACAAAATGCTCTGCAATGACTGCGAGGAAGGTCAACTACATAGGTCAAACTAGTAGGTCAGGGGTAGTCAGATTGTCAGAACATAAGAATTTAGCTAAGGAAAGAAAGGTTGATCCGAGAAGATAAGTAGCTTAGAAAAAAGCTCAGCAATAGCACTGCATGCATTAACACACAACCACACAATAGAGTGGGAGGGGGTTAAAATTCTAAAAAGTAATCTAGGTAGGTAGGGAGAGAGGTTGATTACTGAATCCTTATTCATCGAGTCTACACCTAACACATGCAATAGAAATGATTCATCACTCACACCCGAAATATGGAAAATACTACTACCAATCAAATCAAGTGAAAAACAATGAAACTTTATAAATGGAGTTAGGATGTCGTGTGATTACCTTGTTATGATTATGAGCAATAAATTATGCTCGAAACATCATCAGTAAACATTACTGTATAACACTGTAAGACTTTATCAAAACAAAATTTACCCATAATGCACAAGTTTTATTCTTATATCAATGAAAGCAAGAGGGAATATATTTGCAGGATAAAAAACACCAATATTTTATTTCACAAGTTTACTCAAGCTACCAATACCTTCAAATTGACACAAGTTTTGATGTATATGCAAATATATAATCCGAAAAATTATTTCAACTTAGTGTGAATAGTGATGGAGATAGAGACAAGAGTACAACACAATTTAGATATTCCCATTAAGATAATTTCAGAAGACAATTTATGCAATCAAATGTGTATTTTCTATTGGTTCTCATCAGGCTTTACAATTACTTAGTAAAATATCAGGCATAGACATCTGAAATGATTTGGATCAACAAAATCAAATAATAATCAAGCGGAGTTTATGTCGAATAATGAGAGCGGGAAATTCTGAAACTAAGATTAAAATATGCAAATGTTTAGCACACTGTGATACTGATAATGAAGTCTACAGTGGAAATAAAGATAACAACTACAGTTGTCTGATGTCAACAGGAGAGATAACTAATCTAGATTTGAGGTGAATGTCAGTGATGGAGAGATATCGAAGAACTATTTCCTGAACACAGAGATTGGATTGAAGAATCTCTATGGTAACTGTCTCACCTACACCAAGCAATCGAATGTGGAAAAAGTCAGGAAATTGAAGTGACACCTTGTGTAGAACTGTAAAGGCTGAATTCTCATCGATTTTGTACTCCGTATCCACCACTGTGTGTGACAGTATGGATCTCTTGATTCACTTTACTACTCCTTCACCTAACCATGTTGGAAAATGCTGAAGGAGGCGAAGGTGGGCTTACCTAGTCGTTCTACCCTTGTATCTGTCTCCATTTGAACAGTTAAAGTTATAAATGCCCATTGACGTAGCCAGACTCGGTAGCTTATCAGTCACCTCCGTTGAAACTGTACAATCAGTGATGAATTCTAAACGTAGTGTTGTAACATAGGATGTCTTAAGTTTAATTCTGTGGAGTCTGAATGCGAGTAACTCAGTGTTTGTGTCTCCTTTTATATATATATATATATCTTCTGCACAGAGATTTGTAGGTATTTCCCTCCACCTTTTCTCATCATGGAGACTTTAACAATTTTTCTGGGTATCTGTTCTCAAATAATAATAAGTTTTCTGTTCCCCTTGTTTCATCCTCAAGAGTGTCAGATGTTCAAATTTTTCTAGCACGATATACCAGGGTATTGATGGGATTTAGTCTGTATGGAAAAGGAACAAACGATCTGAAATGTGTGTGTATTTGTCCCACCTAACAATCTAATCTTGCCTTCTTGTTAGTAAGACATTAAAAAAATGATGTCTTCTCTTTTTTTATATGAAACCAGTTTGTGGTTGGACGGCGATAGTGATTTTATTCTTATGCATCTGCAGTAGAACGATAGTTCGTTAAAAAAAATTTTTCAGTGGGGACTTCTCTAATTTTTCCATAAACATTTCGACTAAGTTAAAACCCAGGGAGGGAAAGCCCATTGCTACATCCTTCTCATGATCATAGATTTCGTTGCTAAACTGGAACTGCACGTTTATCATACAAGTGAGTAACAGTTTCCGTAAGGTTTTAAGTGGTATACCTGCTTTTAAAACACTTAATTATCCAACAACAAGAGTTTGTCTATACATAATGTGATGTGATGCTCGACAGGAGAGATTGGGAGTGAGAAGAAATAGTAAGCAAGAGTAACATCATTGCGTAAACAAACAGTTAAGTAAATCGGAAGATAAACAGTGAGGTCAACTGATTGAGTGATTAACAAATGAGAACTGTGACTCAAGAGAACACAGAAACCAATCATAGACATCTATTTACCCGGGTAGAGCGGGATGAGTCACAATATCTTTCTGTATACATAGATTAAGTTGAGGGTATTCGATCGCAGTGGCTTTTCAAAGCGGAGTAAACATGATTTTCTCTGCACGCCCACTGATTATTTTAAAGGCTTGACTGATTTCGACTGAATGTCCGTGTCAATCAGATGCATGTGCTTCGGTAGCACAGACTCTCGCCGATCATGCACATGGTTCGGGGTTCGACGCCCTGTCGACGCACACCTCATATCAATTGGTCGGCCTGCAAAATTTAAGCTGCCGATATCACATGCTGAGAATTCCATATCTGCACCAAAAGTACGGTGTGGAATCAAGCTAAAATCAAAAAATAAATAAATAAAAATTCATAACGATTGTATTTGCAAACACACTTTCTTACTTTTCATAAAAAGATTATTAGGGATATGCGCAGAAGATCTAGTTGAAACTCTAAGTCCTTTCTGTGTACCGGCTACCACAAGTTCACGTGAATTAACAGATGCAGTTTGCAGCTGAAATGAGCAAGAATACTTATCTACTTTACACCATATAAATGAACATTTCGTGTTATACAGTGGAATCAGTCTAGGGGCGGAATTTGTCTTTTTCAATGCACCTTTGATTCTTTTGTGTTCTATTCTTTCTGATGCTTCTTCCTCATTGTACACCAGAAAACTGAAAACTGGATTTTTTCAGCTACTACAGGCTTCACTGTGGACTTTTCTTCTCCACTATATTTTATTATTTACTCACTGGAGATATCCATTCTTCATCAGATCACTTCCAATAATCATGAGTTCTTCATCGATCTAAGCCTAATGCGTCAGCTATTCTGAACAACGTTTCTACCAAAATCGGTTTGTAAGTATTTGGGAAGAAAACTGTGATAATTTGAATATTCACTCATCCAATTTTCTTTTCTACAGATAGTATTTGTCAATGGTCCTATCATTTCTTGATCTTATGCTAAGATTTAGAAAGTTGATGCATTGTAAAATCAATATGAGGATGAGCTACATTGAGTTCTTCAAACAGGTCTTATGCATGATACACATTGTTGCAAACGACAAGTATATCGTCAGAAATATTATTTCTCCCTTAGATTCTGAGCTCCACTAGCATATGTCTACTGTTTCATGTTCTCTGCAGTCCTTCTTATCTGACCTGACGATTGCCCATAGTCTCTTATCTCCTCTTCGCATGATCTTCTCCATGTCAGCCTCCACCTCATGCCGAACTCATCGTTTCCCATTCACACTTCACTCGAGTGAGGACCTGCCTAACATGGGATTTCATTCAACTGTCTCCTTTCCGTGTGTCTGGCCCATCTTCAATAATTTAAATATTCCCATATTGATAATTATAGAAAATAAGTTAAGTGAATACGTATTTCCGGCGAATTTTTATCAGGCTTTACATAATGAAATATTAGTTATAAGCATTTGAATTAATGTGGTTAATAAGATATAGGATAGGTGTTTAGGGATGTGAATTAATGGATAACAATCGAGATAATCATAATAATAACTACAATAATAAGGATAAATTCATTGAAGTGTTGGTTTAATCTAGGCAATGGTCAGTGTACAGCGATTAGATTGCTATGTGACAATAGTTATTTTCTTTTAATTGAATTTCTTAGATTTTCCCGTCGATTGATCAGACCGAAGTGCTCGGTCTCAGGTTGACATGTCGGCTTCTTGTGTAGACGCTTTGACGATGTCTGGGCGTTTAATTAGTATTTAATTGGTAGATGGTGACAAGCAAAGGAATCCAGGATGCGCATTTCGTCCTATTTGGGACTCGTCAGCTGGATGTACCTGCATTTCTCAGTGAGTGATGATGTTCCCACCGAGGCTCGAACCCAGTGCCCATGGTTTCAAACGGCAAAGCGTTATCCTTTCTATAGTTTGGTTTGTAAGGATTAGTTATGTTTTACGGATTGATCACGGATTGATATCAGTTAGAGAACCATTGAAAACCAGGGAGTACTGGACAGCTGCTGTTTCATCCTAGTTTGGGAATCATCGTCAGTACGCACCCACTGGGATTCGAACCCGGGACCTTCCGGTTACAAGGCAAGCTCGTATACCATTCAGCCACTGGGATCCGATTCAATGGCTCGTGAATTCTAACTTCTACTGCCGATGATTCCCAAACTAGGATGAAACAGCAGCTGTCCAGTACTCCCTGGTTTTCAATGGTTCTCTAACTGATATCAATCCGTGATCAACCCGTAAAGCGTTATCCACCAGACCACTTGGGCCATGAGAGCCATCTCCTGTGCAACGGGTCATATTGTTTTCATTGAATTTTCTAGATTTTCCCGTCGAAACTATTTTGAAACTATGGGCACTGGTTTCGAGCCTCGGTGGGAACATCATCACTCACTGAGAAATGCAGGTACATCCAGATGATGAGTCCCAAATAAGACGAAATGTGCATCCTGGATTCCAATGCTAGTCACCATCCACTAACTAAATAGTTATTTTCCACTCTACCGGTACCAGTACACACATTCTACCTATAAACTGACCATTACCTAGATTAAACCAACACTTCAATGAATTTATCCTTATAGTTGTAGTTATTATTATAATTACCTCGATTGTTATCCATTAATTCACATCCCTGAACTCCTATTCCATATCTTATTAACTACACTAACCCATCTTCATCGATTTTCTTTGGCATATTTATTCAGTAACAGGTTCTTGGTTGGTTTGTTCCTAGAGTTTCTTGTTGCTAATTCCTTCTGACCATTTGATCTTTAATGTCGAACGCAGAAAGTGAATCTGATATAATGTTCTGAGATCTCTTTTGCCTATGGCATGTTCTGCTTTAGTTGACAGCGTATCATAGAATTGTCTTCTGTCATTCCTAGCACTCTTCTTCACGCCCTTGTACAGTGCGATGTGCACTAAACTCATCTTCTCCCTTTGTTGTGCACCTTTTCATTGGTTCATCTTCTGTTTCAGCGTCCTCCTCTTTTCTATTAGCTTCCAAGTGTCCGTAGGGAGTCATTATTTATCTTGTGTATTCTTTCTTCCTAGAACAATTGTACACATTTCCTCGAACATCAATGTCAGAAAGTTAGTTCCAATGTTTTTCCACACAGGTTTCCTCAATGATACCACGTAGTGTATCCGGCTTTGCTCTGGTCTGATCTGTATTGGATGCGTCCTTTATAGTTTTGTCCTTAAATCCAATTTTTCAACGTTGAACTTGAATTGCGGTTTGTCTCCAGTTGTCTTGAAGTCTTTCAACGTGACCTCGAAGGTGCCGTGATAAACACAATCGTCTAAGACCAAATCTGCTCCCCTTGTCGATTTCCAGCGCAACAGACTGCTTCTCCATTTTCTTGAGATTCATACAAAGTCTATCTGGTTTGTGGTGTGTTGACCAGGTGAAATCCATGTTGCCTTGTGCATATCCTTGTGTTTGGATGCGCTGCCTCCAACCACCAAATCACTGAGAACGGGGAAGTTTGAGAGGGTTTCTCCGTTCTTACTCATATATTCTAGAGCCACTCGATCTATGATGAATTCTCTTCCTACATTGTCTGCTTCCAGCTTAGCATTCGTATCACCCTATCAGGATTTTGATTTCGCCATTCAAGTTCTTATCCATTACTGTTCACAGTTGCTTATGGAACTCTTCCTTCTCCTCTTGTTCTGCGCTGTTTGCGGGTGTGTGGCATTGGATAATTGTCACTTTCCTTCCTTTTGAGTTGAATCTTGCTGTTATTATCCAGCAGGAGGAGACTGGTTCCTTCGCCTGTTGTTGGTGCTTTCCAGATAGCCACTCACTGCCTAAGTGTGCTCTTAAATGGCGTTTGGGTGACTGGAGTAGAATACTGCCTCTCAAGTTAAGAATTTTGATGGTCCACATCCACTCCACCTGCTTTTACAAATTCCTACCACTACTATACTATATCTTCTCATTTCTTTGGTTACCTGAGCAGCCTTCCCAGCCTCTTCAATTGTATGTACATTCCACGTCACAATGCTTATTTTTGCTTTGATCAAAAGAATACAAATTGGCCTACTGCCTTGCTTTCAGAAGGCTTTCACCAGCGCACTGTGTCATTTCGCCTCTCCGATTCCGTCGAAAAATAAGATCGTTTTTTATATCCTTTTTGTAAAAAATACGTGCAATCATATGTGCTCTTATCTAGGTCTGGTCTCAAATGCATCACAGTCAATTCGACAGACAATAATCGCTTGACCCGTTTACCTTACAACCTTTTGAATCAGTCTCGTTACATGATGAATAAATCTCTGTCTTCTTATTCAGCTTAACTGTGACTTATTCTATGCATTTTAGGAAGTTTTCAAATGTAAAGCGATTGTCAGTCAAATTGATGATGCAAGACAATATTTACTAAGAAATTGTATGCAAGTACAAAATATTCACTTATCCGGTCCTATAACACAATATAATAGCTTTGAATATACCGGTCAAATGCCTGATATCGAAACATTATCTGAACGTGCGCTCAATGCATACAACAAGTTATTGGATAACAGAGTGAGCTATGAAATACTAAGCATTGAAGAAATTGAATTCAAGGTAAGTTGACGTGAATATCCGTGTGAATACTCATACTAATGTTGATTAGTATGCTGTAGGTGAACAACTTGACTTCAGTGTCATACTTCGACCCAGAGGAGAAGGCGGTTCAGCTAAGAAGGAAAAAAATTCAGTAAGTCCAATTTATACCTGCTAAAATACTTCGATAAATGTGTAACTATCATTACCATTTTCTCCTTGAGTTCCGAGTGGGACACTTGGCTCCAGCTGTACACCCCCAATTTGTCCTATTTCTTACCGTCCTCTCAAGCTGGCACCACGATCGCCCAAATTTTCTCATCTCCTCCTCCCCAATACCATCTTGTCAATGTCACCCTCGGACCAACACCCAACTCCTCGTTTCCTATTCAGGTTCCAGTCGAGTGATGGCCTACATTGTGCTCGATGTCATTCGACAGTCTACTCAACGTGTGCCCAATCCATCTCCGATTTCTTTCGTATATTTTGTTGAGCAATAGGTTTCTGGTTGGTTCGTTTACAGAGTTCTTTGTTGCTTACTAATTCAGACAGGCTTTCTGATCTTCACTGTGGAACCAATGGCGGTGGCTGTTGATAAAGGTTTGCAACTGGTTGGGAGTGCTTATCGTGACTACTTAAACTTAATCTTGTCCATTGTTCATTTATTTTTCAAGCATACGAATATTCCTGCCAGACATTGTTCGAAGTAGGAGAGTAAACTGCAGTCTTCAGGTAATCGATTCATGAACAACCTGATAGCCTTCAGGATTCAGTGGTAAACAGTTACATTTCGTACACTGGTTAGTCACTAAGGTGTAACCATACTATTCATCTAATACTTGACGTTGGTACCGACCGAATTCCATCAGTCAAGTTTATAACGTAGTCACCAAGTTATGTAACTCACCGTCATGGTTAACTCCAAAGTAATGTTAGCTGATTGCATACAGTTAGGAAGGTGCCTCAGACCTATATTTCATGGTAATTGGCGTTCATCCTACCAAGACGATTCAGGTCTAAATAGCTTAGCGGTAATATCTCTGGTCACAACACTGGGTGACGAGGTTTCAAAACTCGTTTGTGACATTTGCTCCTTTAAGGCTGCAGATATGCCTTCCTGATGGTCGACCAGAAGAACGAAAATGAGACTCAAAGGTCGTTCCCGTCGACCACCGCCGGCCATCTAGCATCATTCATACTTCGCTGTAACTAGTTTAGATTTTTATTAACCTAATGTATTATCCAGGTGTACTCATAAACTCTTCATGAGAATAAAAACCGATGAGATGTCTTCCTGTTGGATATCTAGCTATTTTGATAGAGAGAAATTTTAGATTTTTAATCGTATTCAATGAATATGAAAGTATGACAGTTCGACATTAATTTGCCTCATAATTCTTCCAATAACAAGACTTTACTAAAAAACAGGCAATTTCTGGATTCAATAAGAATCCAGATGTAATCAAAATTGACACTTTCCACATTCGTCTTCATCTGTATTTAAATCGGTTTAGGTGCTTACACAACATTTTTCACAGAATAGAAAGACCATTTAATTTATATTGGCGGAACTGAACATGTTGACTATCATACTTACGAATGCGATGAATGTCGAACTGGTAAATACATTCAAGTTCAAAGCATTAAAGGATAAGTGATTGGATTCTTTTTAGTAGGAGGTAACCAAGAGTTCATCACCTCACACTTCTTATGTTTTTCCTTCTCTTCAGCACTTAATTCAATGCCATGTGCACTGGAGCAATCGACCTTGGTTATATGGCCAGGATCTCATGAAATTGGGAGAATGTATAATGATAGAAATCGATACCAAAATACTTCAAATGAATGTTTGGTTTGAGGATTTCGATATAGTCGCACGATTGATCAGTGAAGAAATCGGTGAATATGAATCATTCAAGCTTGGTTCACTCCCACACTGGACGGCTAATGTAAGCTGAAATTATTATTTCAATGTGCGCTGATCATAATAATGTCTTGTGTTCATACAGATATCTGATGGCAAACGTCACAGAATGAATTTTGTCCTTGCTAGGATTCCTAACAAAAATTCACCATATCGAGGTGTCGTAGAAGAGGAAGAAAACCATTCGAAACTGTTGGTTGGGGTAAGTTTGTGTGAATTTGTCTATGTTAAATATTTTCCATTGCATGGGATTGTCACTTATCCTCACCAAACAGACATATATGCCTCTTTAAGGTACGACAAAACACCTAATCTCGTTGTAAATAACAAACACTTCAACATTTTATAGATCTGAGGATTTCACTGTCTTCGATATGTCTCAATAATTGCCTGTGTGTTGCATATTTTAGTCATTTGTCCCACTACAACTCTTACACATTTTAATACAGCGTGAGAGGGGTAAACAGCTGTTTTAATATGTTGTTGCTAGTGAAACCTCTATCCTTAGTTTCGTCGATTTTGGAAACACCTTCGACAGGCAGCGTTGACCAATAAGTAATTTGAAAACGAATTTAACAATATGGAGTACAGTTTCCAAATCTTTATCAATCTCATTCAGCGACCAGATGACAACGCCACATTTCAGGTTATCCACAACAGGAAACTCAACAAAGGTTGCCGGCCTAATATCACTGAGGATATTCTTAATTGTGGTGGACTGGATTATATGTCATACAGTGATTCGAGCTAGAGAATATAATAAAGACATCAATTTAGGCAAACCAGGTGGAGTTCAAATTAAGGAGATGTGTAACTGAGCAGAATAGCTTCTGATCACGCCACCGGTCTTATATAGTGTATCTCAAGGCATGCTCTCTAAGTGTAGCTCGTCACAGACGCTGATACAAATGTGGTAACTCAACAATTTGGTGGGTGGATTTCCAAAGCCGTAAATTCTCAAAGACTTTTCAGATAAGACTAGGAATTCTGAGGTTGAATTCATTTCAACTTTCGACAGATTCTCTAAAACTACTCTACACTTGAGTTTCTTGCATGATATCATTTTCAAGTGAGATAAGTGGGCAGTGTTCCTAAGTTACCTTTCGGTGTAGAAGAAAGCATACTGTATGCAGCTGGCATATTTTCCATGTAAACTGAAGGTGCTGAAACCGCTCACCTACATATATCACTTTCTGAGATCTTCATGAGTGATGTGTTGTTATGATCCTCATTGGATGTCTAACTGAACTGAGAGAGAATAGAGGACCTCACCTTGATCCACAGCCTTGAGAGATTGCCGTCCACTCATATCCACAGAGCTCTTGAATATTTCACAAAGGGACTTGCTTAAGGTTTGAAATTGATCATCCGAGAATTTTAGTCAGTCGATGTTAATTTTGACATGACAATTCTCTAAATTTTTTAATCGTGTTATGTTACAGTGACATAAAGTGTTTTTGTGTGTAACGACAGAATGCAAGAGTGTATGATGACGAATGATTTGCAATGTTTGAGTAGCTTGAAAATCCCCATTGAGTCATATGAAAAGAGAAGACGTTCAGCGAAGAGACTCTTTTTGGCGAATTCATTCACATATCTGTACAATCGCATTTATATATAATTATTTGTGTGTATGTACATGAGGTTTGTCAAGTTTAGATAATTGATCAGGCAATACAAGAATGATCTAGTATAGAAACAAGGTTAATCAGACAGCAACTAAAGTAAGATTGAGTTAGTAAGCTATATGACGTAATATAACTGACTAAAATGTTTCAACTTAGGTCAGGGTAGCAACAGGGGTAATTACAGGTTGAGACTAAGTAGAAGTGGGGTAGAGAATAATGTCATTTAAATTAGAACTGAAATTGAGCAAATAAGTTGGATGACGTAACATGAATGATTAGAAATTGAGCGATGGTCAAGTCAGTAACAGTGGTAGTGAGGTGTAGAAATCAAATCGGTTGGAGGTAGAGAACAAGAAAGTTGAAAATGTAAAATATTACAATTGAAAAGACAAAATAATACTAATGAAGACAAAAAAGGATTAGGTAGAATTTACTTGTCGGGTAATAAGATGGATTACATCCATTGCAAGTGTACGAACCTCTTCTGTATGCAGAGTTCAGGGCTTAGCAAGTGAATCGCCATTGCTTCTGCAGTTTGAAGAAGTCTGATTCGTACACCTTTAGGAAGACTACTTCTTGCTCTGTAGACGACTTTGAAGTTTGCTTGCGGTGTAGCTTGGTGTCCGGATTCTATCAGATGTTCTAAGATGGAGCTGCGGGGCATCGAAAATCTAATAAACCAAATTTACGACCTCACACCTACATCAGATGAAAACCTACAACAACTCAAAGCATTAATCCTCGACTGTTGTCACAAGTTCATAAATACCTAACCCAACAGAAGGTCCATTTTGACGTAGAGGCACTATAAGGAGCTGAAAGAACTTATGAAAAACGAAGAGATTATGATATTACGTCCTGGTAAAGGCGAAGGAATCGTAATCACGAATCGCAAAGACTATATCAGTAAAATGCTGACTATACTATCCGATGAATGCAAATTCACAAAACCGATCAAAGAGAAAAACATGACTGAACAGACCGAACAGAAGCTAACGGACACCCTCCATAAGCTAAAGAGTGAACCTTTCATCAGCGACGAAACGTTCGAATCTCTTAGACCATCTGGCTCAAATATACCACGACTTTATGGACTCCCAAAAGTACACAAGAAGGGTATCCCTCTTCGACCGCTCCTCGACATGACCAATTCGCCTTATCACCCCACAGCCCAATGGTTAGCAGACCTACTAGAACCAATCAGAAGACAGGTTTCCTGCCACACAGTTTGAGATTCATTCGACTTTATTGACTCACTCGGAAACACCAACGTATCCAATAAGACCATGATTTCATTAGATGTCACATCACTATTCACATTCCATTGACTGAAACAATATGCTATATATGCGAACTTATTCACTCCAAAGGAATAAACATCGGTATACCAACCAAGCGTCTTAAAGAACTACTGAGGTGTATCCTGAATGTTCAATTCTCTTTCAACAACGAAATATATCGTCAAAAGGATGGTATAGCTATGGCCTCACCACTAGGCCCATTGCTTGCAGAGTTCTTCATGGCAAAACACAAACACACACACATAAACAATTATATATGAATGCGATTGTACAGCTATGTGAATGAATTCGCCAAAAAGTGTCTCTTCGCTGAACGTCTTCTCTTTTTCATATGACAAATTATTTTTTGTCAGCTTGACGTGCAGATTTATGCAAAATACGCGCACCATATATATTTGAATAACAATTCTCTGATGTCCTGGTATTGTGCTGCAGTTTCTTCCATAGTGTTCTTCTTTGCCTTCCTTTTTGCGTTTTCTGTGTTGTTTCTCAAGCATTGTTCATTAAATCCATCTCTCCACTATTCGATGTTCATGCAGATAGCGCAAACATTTATGTCAGCATCTATACACTACTTATGAAACTCGTCAGTAGCATACGCCAGAGTAGATTGTAGAAAAACCACAATATTGAAATCATTGAATACAGAGGATTCGATGGGTAGGGATTTGATAGCTTGCCAGATTCTGCTAACCATAACGATCCTTTTATTTGTTAAATCAAAGTATGTTAAAAATTTCCAACTCTCTTCACATTTTACCCAGGCTGCACTTAACTGTACTGTGGAAGTATGGGTTAGACCATGGCTAAACAATTCAAGACTCATAAAAGTTGAACGGTGTGACGAATATGAACACTATCTCATGGATAAAATTTATATGAAGAAGCCAGTGAAGAAAGCCAACATAAACTTGAGTGAATCCCTCCGACGTCGTTTACCTGGTCAACATAGCATATGGCAAAAACACCTTGTTAATAATAGCCTTAGCAGTTACATGGCATTCATGAATGAGGTAGGTTGTATTCCATATATATATATATATATATATATATATATACATATATATATATATATATATATATATATATATATATATATTGTCTACAATTCTTTCCACCCGCTTCCTACTTTTGTTTTTATAGGCTATGGAAATGCAATTAGCGGTGCATGCTGAAAAAATGAATGTCGCATGAAGGGGTTGTGACAACCCTTCATCTAAGGTAAGTCACTGGATGTTTTCACATATGCAGTCATTAAGTTTTAGTCTGTCTTTGTGTGTAATCAACTTCTCTATATACACTTTATTTCGTTAATTCATTTCAGGCTTAGTTACTTGAAACCAAACTGTTACACTGACACCAACGCGTTGAGCATTGACGACAAAACTCACTTCACATTAAAATATTTTTCTTATTAATAACGTAAAAACTCATGAATTTTGTTATAATCATAAATAAAATTGCTTCGAATAATTTAAACTTTTATTTATTTTATGTTATTATAACGTCTGAAAGTGTCAACACGCTATATCAGACTGGTATGCCAGAGTTTCCAGCCTCTCACGAAATTTCTCTCCTCCTTTATGTGCATCATTCGTATCGTTAGGTAGTTTTTAAAAAGCCTCGGTATCCAGTCACATATTTGCTCCCTGGAATCCTTGAACTTATAAAGCGTTTAGGAACAAATGTACCAAGAATGTATGAGCTACCTAAAATTCATAAGTCCAACGTGACACTTAGACTCATATTAATTATGTTCTACTCACAGTATCATGAAGTAGCTAGATTGCTGGTAGATATACTTGAAAACATGATGAAAACAGATAGAGAGAAATGTCTACAAGTCACTGTGCAGAACAAACGTGTGTGTATATGACGTTATTGGCTAAAAAAGACACAGACACTGAATTACTCGCATTCAGAGTCCACAAAATTATAGTTAACATATTCTATGCTACAAAGCTACGTTCGAAATTCACCACTGGTTGTATAATTCAAACACGGGGCTGGTTACTTAAGTGTGTGTTCATAACTTTAACTGTTCATATGGAGACCGATACAAGGGTAGAACGACTAGGTAAGCCCACCTTCACCTCCTTCAGCATTTTCCAACATGGTTAGGTGAAGGAGTAGTAAAGTGAATCAAGAGATCCATACTGTCGTCACACACAGTGGTGGATATGGAGTACAAAATCGATGAGAATTCAGCCTTTACAGTTCTACACAAGGTGTCACTTCAATTTCCTGACTTTTTCCACATTCGACTGCTTAGTGTAGGTGAGACAGTTACCATAGAGATTCTTCAATCCAATCTCTGTGTTCAGGAAATAGTTCTTCGATATCTCTCCCTCCATTGACCTTCACCTCAAACCCAGATTAGTTATCTCTCCTGTTGACATCAGACAACTGTAGTTGTTATTTTTATTTCCCCTGTAAACTTCATTATCAGTATCACAGTGTGCTAAACATTTGCATATTTTAATCTTAGTTTCGAAATTTTCGGTTTTCATTAATCTACATAAACTCCACTTGATTATTATTTGATTTTGTTGGTCCAAATCATTTCAAATGTCTACGACTAATATTTCACTATGTAATTGTAGAGCCTGATGAGAATTGACGGAAAATACATATTCGATTGCTTAAATTGTCTTCTGAAATTAACCTAATGTGAATACTTAAGTTGTGTTGTACTCCTGTGTCTTTCTTCACCACTATTCACACTAAGTTGAAAATATTCGAACAAGACATATAAGCGGACGATATTGTTTTCAATTAGATCTTCTTCAGGCTTTACTCTAATTTACATAGATTTATATATATAAAATTTCAACCAATGACGGTGATTTTGTGGATCAAACAGTAATAATAATAATAATAATAATAATAATAATGTGGTAAATGTTTTGAACGAAATTAATAACGATGATTATAATGATAACAAAATATTGATAATAAGGTTTATGCAGGTGGTGATAAGAATAACAAAGGCAGTATATGTATATATGTGTATATGTAGACAATTAAATAAATAAATAAATTAGGTCAAATCTTAAAAGGTGAAGTGGACAGATAATCAGAGTTTAAATAAATATCATAAGGATACGAAGGAGATGGAAAATAAGAAAGGGTGGGAGGGTTTTGAATAGAATTCACCTAGGCCAAGAGTGGGACAGACAAAGGTAGAACAAACTTCTTTTGTATGCAAAGACTAGGATTGCTCTCTCGAATGAATTCCCATAGCTTCGGCTAAGTGTAAAAGACGGATTCGAATTTCGTTCGAAAGACTCGATGGAATGCGATAGATAACTTTGAAGGCACTATTTGTGTCCACTTGGTGACCGCTATCAATCAAATGAGTCAAAATAGAACTTCGTATGGATTTTATTCGACCTTTTCCGAACCATGCGTTTGTTAGGCTATCTAGTTGTTCGCCCTATGTAGTTAGCTTTCTCCACAACAGCAACTAAATTTAATCATACACATAGAAGTAGCACAATTAGGTAGCTTGTCTTTCACTTGAGCAATCAGAATTGGTCAGCTGGAAAATGACAAACAGAGGTTGGTGACAGTGTAAGTCCGTTTTATCGCTTTCGATAATCTCAGATGTAAGACTTCGCTAGCCACGTCCCCATTAAATTGCAGTTTCATGAACAGTTGTTTCTTTTTAACTGTTGTCAGTTTTTATTTACTTTACCTGGTATTTATGTGTCTCCTTACAAATCTACTAGGATAAACTACCTAGCTGTGCCACTTCGATGTGTATATATAAATTTAGTTGCTCTTGTGGAGAAAGCTGACTACATAGGGCGAACAACTAGATAGCCTAACAAACGCATGGTTCGGAAAAGGTCGAATAAAATCCATACGAAGTTCTATTTTGACTCATTTGATTGATAGCGGTCACCAAGTGGACACAAATAGTGCCTTCAAAGTTATCTATCGCATTCCATCGAGTCTTTCGAACGAAATTCGAATCCGTCTTTTACACTTAGCCGAAGCTATGGGAATTCATTCGAGAGAGCAATCCTAGTCTTTGCATACAAAAGAAGTTTGTTCTACCTTTGTCTGTCCCACTCTTGGCCTAGGTGAATTCTATTCAAAACCCTCCCACCCTTTCTTATTTTCCATCTCCTTCGTATCCTTATGATATTTATTTAAACTCTGATTATCTGTCCACTTCACCTTTTAAGATTTGACCTAATTTATTTATTTATTTAATTGTCTACATATACACATATATACATATACTGCCTTTGTTATTCTTATCACCACCTGCATAAACCTTATTATCAATATTTTGTTATCATTATAATCATCGTTATTAATTTCGTTCAAAACATTTACCACATTATTATTATTATTATTATTATTATTACTGTTTGATCCACAAAATCACCGTCATTGGTTGAAATTTTATATATATAAATCTATGTAAATTAGAGTAAAGCCTGAAGAAGATCTAATTGAAAACAATATCGTCCGCTTATATGTCTTGTTCTAATACCATACATGGAAATATTTAAAGATTTGAATATATTTGTCAAGTTATATATTTGCATATACATCAAAACTTGTGTCAGTTTGAAGGTATTAGTAGCCTGAGTAAATTTGTGAAATACAAATTTGTGTTTTTTATCCTGCAAATATATTCTCTCTTGCTTTGATCATCGAATCGATATATGAAACTCACCGTAACCTCCGGATCTGTACAGTGATCCGGATTCCCATAGAACAAGCGTTCACGTCTACCCTTTTAAAACAATGTTAAAGTGAATAGTCTTCGATTTTGCATCTTTTGGAACACTTTCACGTGTCTTTGTGAAGTCAGAAGGTCAAAAAGAACAGCAAGGGTGTAAATTCGCCAAAATTGAATTCATGCATCTTAAATAATACCCAGGCTTACTTGTTTAATTGATGTGCAGCTACATAGACGGGAATAAATATCCAATATTACTAGATCACAATCTATTTCAATCTGCGCCTGAATCAACCGAAAGGTTCCGGATAGTACTTCCAGAATTCTCAAATCTGACGGCAACCAACCTTCAAACCTGTAAGGATGGCCTGAAAATTGCTCATATTCACGCCCCCCCCCGGAGTTTATTGAGCGAAGAAGGTAGGTCACGGATAAGCCCAAAATAACGAACGCCGGATCGGATTATATGCTTTATTCAGTGACTATTCGGACCTTGAATATTCAGTGGGCTTCGCCATTTCATATGATGTCTGGGAAATGTCAGATAAGTTGGTGCCCTTGTGGTGATCACATATCACTAAACAAGCAAACTATCCCGTATAGGTACCCAGTACCACACTTTCAAGACTTTACTAACAGTCTTCGAGGCGCCACAATATATTCACTCATACTGGCTCGGTTTGCGCCTATCAGAATATTTCGGTGGCTGAGGAAGATGTAGTTAAGACAGCCATTCCAACCGTATTTGGAATGCATGAGTTTGTGCGGATACCGTTTGGTCTCCGGAATGCAGCACAAACTTTCAACTGATTGATGGATGAATTGTAGTCTGAGATGACGTTTGCTGAAACATACAAAGATAACCTACTCACTGCCAGCCCGGATATATGCACACATGCAGACCACATTCAGGCACTATTACTCAAACTAAAAGATAACGATATGACAGTATATCAGGGTAATAATAATAATTTGTGCTTCTTATAAATGAGTTAGTTTACATGAAATGCACGCTATTTTTACAGACATGATCGGTCATGTTATAAACAAAAATCATGAAGTATCATAAATTAATACTTTTCCAAAAGTTTAAATTGTGCGATTATTGTACACAAAATGAGAACTGGTTCGTTAAAATGTTCGACTGTACACCCTTCACTAAGGTCACCATCAAGGTTGAGCTCCAACCCGTAATTCGTTCTGTTTCCTGATAATACTTGTGATCAGCCAATTAACAACATATATTTGAGTAAGTGCTACGCCTCCATGTAATTAAAAACTGTTTCAAGAAGACTATAGTCTTCTATAGACGTTCAATAGAACGTCCTCGGAAACTAAAAACTGATGTGAAATACAATTATGGATAAGATGATTCTAAACTACAGCAGCCCAAAACAAAACTATCTAATCAACGGACTGATGACCTTGTTGAATTCATGCACAGAAATCGGTTTAGCCTGACTGTGCCCAAATCGACAAAAATGGGGAAAACCGT